AGAACTGCAATTATGTTATAACATAATTGCAGTTCTAATCCTATACTTTCAATCAATTCTATTCGAGTCCCTCATTCGGTTCCATGTCACAAATGCTTCAGAAAAGTCCAATCCAACGGTAACGCTTTAACTATATATATATACTAGTGTAACACTCGTGCACTACACGGTAATTTTTAGATATTATCATAGTAAATTTGAAATGAAAAAAATTATGCATAAAATGTCTCAAATTAAGTCTATATAAAATGTGAACTATTAAAGTAATAAATTCTATATATAAGTAAAAAATTGTTTTGGTGACTGACGTTTTCACGCGTAATGGTAAATATTTTGCAACTCACAGGTTGTTCTGAACTGGGGATGGTGATAGCAAATTGGTTAATCGACTTTGATGAAATTTCGGAAGAAGCATAGGGGCAAAGATGTACTTTGAAATTACTGGGACATAAAATATAAAAAACAAAAAATAATCAGTTTTGTTTTTGTTGATACAATGACGTTTGAATCCTTTTAAAGGGATTGAAGGAGTTTCAATGGACAAAAGCTCTGTTCTCTTTTAATTATGAGTAGTTTTTAATTTTATCAGAATTTGAAAATAAAAATATGCATTCAATTGAAGCATTGTGATTGAAGGATGGGATTCATTGGTTTGTAATTGACGGAGGCTGGCGGAGGGAGGGAAGGAGAATTTTTGGGCGGCGAAATCATTGAAACTAAAGAACCAGCGATTAAAAGACGAAATTTCAGAAAAAATGCTTTATCTTTAAACCTAGAAATAACGACCCAAAATACGAACACGAAATTTAAGCACAAAGTAATAATCAACCAACCCTAATCAAAATTAACTTCTCCAGTTTACAGGTTAATTAACAAAATTGGAAGAATAATTTGATGTATTAGCATCAGTTCACAATCTGTTTGAAGTTTGGATGATGAAAAGTGAGTTTATAGAATTATTCTCAAACTGAGACTTTGCAAACTTTGCAAATTGCAGGGTCAAAAGACTATATTTTATCAGAATTCGAAAATAAAGGAGAGAATTCATCCAAACTGATTTATAATTGTAACTGATTGAACCAAAACTAAATGTTTAAAAAGAATTCGAAAATAAGTATGTGTTAAATTGAAGTTCACTGCTGTTGCATACTGTCAATAGAAATGGTATTCGTAAAACGCAAATGGATTTTTGAAGTTAATGTCAATTTTTGCTGGAACATTTTTGCGGAACAAATCAACAATTGACTTAGCAATTTCGAAGGATTATTGGCAAAATTAATTTCATGGATATATTTTCCCTTTTTTGTTTGAAAAAAAAAAGAAGATAACTCAGAAAAAACGATTTATAATTGTAATTATTTGAACCAAAACTAAATATTTTCTCAGAATTTGGAAAAAAAGGTATGTATTAAAATTGAAGTTCACTACTTTCGGTCAATGGAGATGATAATTGTAAAACGCAAACGATGATCGTAAAAACGTACAAATAGGAAATTTTTTTAAACTTATTTTAACAAATAAAAAACGAATCAGTGGTACTTGTTATAGATCTCACGCACATAAAAAGAAATGAACATAAAAATCCTTAAAGTAAATATATTATAACAATATCAATACTTACAATCAATTAAGGAAGCATACTCAGGAGTGATACGTTGAGTGACATGCTTGTTTTTGTCTCCAACATGAACAGAAATCGATGATCCATCAGGCTGATCTACATAAATGTCGAAATAAGAGAGGCATACAATCAAATGAAAGAAATGATTAAACAAATTAAAAATATATATACATTTGTATTAAAAATAATATCAACATACTTACTATTATTGTATTCGGCCAATGGGGAAAAAAAATCAAAAAAATTAAGTGCCAACAGATTTATTGAAAATTTATTATTTAAATGCGTCAATAGTTTCATTAAGTCAACAAATTTGTCTTTTTAATATACCTTACGCTTAGAACTAATCAGAATTAAATAAAACTCTAAATGCAACCAAAAGATGTTAAATACAGTGAGTATACTTTTTTCTTTTTTAAAAAAAAGAGTGACTGCTTTTTTTTAAAAAAAAAAAAAAAAGGAGTGAGTGATTTTTTTTTTTAATGGAGTTAGTGATACCCTGGTTGAAGGAGACTTTTGTTTAATACTCATGATAAATCACATGGCACAATTTATGTCTTGAAGGAGACTTTTGTTTCGTGTGTGATTGATTCGATTTAAGTAGGAATAACATGATGTAGATTAAAATAATACAATAATTAAATGGAACACATATTCAAAATAGTAGACATTTTGAAATTATAAATGGTAACGAAAAATTGAACAAAAGGGTACTAATCGGTTAAAGAAATAAATTACCTAATTAACATATAACTCATGGTAAATTTATAAAGTAACCATTTTACTTATATATCATTACAGTTTAACGAATTCCCAATAACTAATTGATATATGTAAGTGAAATCAATTTATAGGCAATTGAATAACACATCATCACCCCATCTCCTTTCTTTTAATATATATATATATATATATAGGATATATAATTTATTTACAATTGTTGGGCTATCAGCTAACAGGTAGTGTAACGCCCTTACCTAAAATTTGATATATTTGAAGAAAAAAGGGTGAAAGGGGATTAGATTTCAGATCTATAGAAGGTGAGAAAAGAACCAAAATAATTGGGGGATGAGAGTGAAAGGGGAAGAACAAGGGATTTGAGGGAGAATCAAAATATCATAGCATTCATGAGGAAAAATTGACTGATCTACCTAAATGTTGACATTCGCTGTCAATTTTATCTTTTTTTTTTTCGATTAGCCAATATTACCCTAAGTTATCCAATCGTTAGCCGATTTTGTTCAATTAGCCAATTTCCGTTTAAATTAACGGAATTTTGTTAGTTTTAATTATAAAAAACATTCTAATAGTTTTGAAAATTATAAAAACAATCCTAAACATTTACAAAAATAACCAAACAGTCTTTTTAAACTTTTTATTTAATTTTTTCTGTTTTTTATTTATTTTTATTATTTCTCGTAACTATAAAAAATATTATATGATCTTTTTAAAAAAATTATTTATTTTTAAACGCTACTGTGCAAATTTATAGATATGTATATTTATTCATGGTTGATTTACATAAATATATTAATTTTTTTAATAATATAACTTGACAATAATGATATTAGTTTTTTTAATCTTTTTTTTCAATTTAAAGAATAATATTTTTTTACTAAAAGCCAATTTTTTACAAAAAGTAAAACATTTAGCATAGATTAAAAATTAATATATTAGTACATTTTAATTTATTACAAATTGAATAAACAAACTATAGATTGTATTATCCAATTCAAAAAATTACTAAACTAAAATATAGTAAACAATTTAGTGTTTAGGGTGTTGGGCTTCATGATAGTAGATATAAGATTAATTCTCATTAAGAATTTTTAACCGGGAGAGTGATTTTATCCACATTTATGCATGGTTTACTAAAGGTGAGAGGGTTGAGTTGGATGGTCAGGTGATTTAAGATGGGAGATGATTATTACTATGTTCGAGGCCTCAATTCTCACTGGGGCGATCTTTTTTTTTTTTTTAAAGGTGGAGTCCAGTACTGGAGAAGATTTTTTTATTATTATTAAAAAAATTTCCTGCTAAAGTTAGATGTTAATATCTCAAAAAAATTATCACGAAATGTTAAACTCTCGCAATGATAAATATACATATTTTTTATAAAATATTTTGTACCATTTCTTTTTTCACTTTCTGATTGTGCTTGGCCTTTTAAAGAAAATGTATATTTTAGTTTAATTATTTTTTTAATTTTACAATACAATCTAAATTCTGTTGAATTATATTGTAATAATACATTAAAGTATACCAATAAAAAAATTAATCTATGCTAAATGTTTTATTTTTTGTGCAAAATTAGGTTTAGTTAAATAATCTTATTTTTTAGATTGAAAAAATAGATTAAAAAATAATATCATTAGTGTTAAACCATATTATTAAAAAATTAATATGTTTATGTAAATCAACCATGAGTTACGAATATGCGTATATATAAATTTGCACAATAGTGTTTTAAAAATAAATAACTTTTTTTAAAAAGATTATATAATATATTTTTATAGTTATAAGAAATGGTGAAAAGAAATAGAAAACAGAAAAAATTAAATAAAAAGTGAAAAAATGACTGTTTGGTTATTTTTACAAATTTTTGAGATCATTTTTATAATTTTTAAAACTATTTTAGTATTTTTGTAATTAAAACTAACGGAATTCCGTTAATTTAAACGAAAATTGGCAAATTGGATCAAATCGGCTAGGGTTAGATAGCTTAGGGTAATATTGGCTAACCGAAAAAGAATAGGGTAAAATTGACAACGCATGTCAACCTTTGGGTAGATCGGCCAATTTTTCCGCATTCATGAAATTCATCGATAAACTTCAGTACAGAGCCGACTCAGTTATTTAATCCAAACCACTACAGTTAACAAATTTACAACCTGACCCCCTTAATTTAAACTAATTTTAAATAAACCCCACAAGTATGACAGTAGCCACCTAAGTCCAAGTTGACATTGGGCCCAAAATTTTGGGCTGTGAAGCAACATCTAAACTACTTCATATAGCTTATCCAAACAAATATTTCAACCCTGAAACGTTCACGAACATATAATAAATATAAAATCAACCATAGAGAAGCACTGAACCCTCGACGTCGGCGAAGAAGGTAAGGTTTTCTTCATCGAATTAGGGTTTCTTTTGATGTTTGTAGGTTCGATCTCTTGCCGATTTATATAGTATATTATTACTGTATTAGCTAAGGTATCTGTCGCCAACTATTCGGAGAAATTAGGGCAAATAATCCACATACATCAATTAAATCAACTCTGTTTGGTTTTCAGTCTGATTTTGTTTGTTTTGGTTGGATTGAAGGTACTGTGAAGGACTGGTACAATCTCCCGTGGATCGTCCTTAACCCTCGTCTGCTATGGCCGAAAAGGTGAATACCTCTACCAATTCTCTCTTCTCTCGTCCGAACTAGATCTAGATCCCGTTTTGCTGTATTAGTTTCCTTTTTGAATTTCCGTTATATAAGTTTTCGTCTGATTAATTTGTTTGTTTTGCTTGTATTGAAGGCGAATCCACCGACCCTTAAACGTCTTCGCTCTTATGTGAGTTCTTTTTTTCTCCCTCTCGTTTTCTTTTTGCGAGTTCTATTCTCTTCTCTCCCTGAACTAGATATTATTTTGGTGTTTTAGGTTCCTTTTTGAATTTCCGTTATATAAATTTTCGTCTGATTACTTTGTTTTCAAACACTGTCCTCATAAAAAGGCGAAAAGAAGGACCTATCAACGTTTATCCCCCCAAAGTGAGTTATTTTTTCCCTCTCCATTATGACTATACTTCAATGCTTAATCTTTAGAAATTGTGTTCATTTTGGGTGTTCTCTCTTTTTGGTTTTATTTGTTTATTTATTATTTGTTTTTTTGGTGGTTGTGTTAACATAAGGATGACGTTTTTTACCGTGGTGGGTACGAATTGGGAACCACCACTCACGGTTTCATTTTCAACGATGAATGGCTTATGGTAGCCCTTGATCATCCAAGTGGGGAAGTGCCTCCAGCAAATGTTAGCCTACTCAACTCTCACCTGCTTGCTGCTTTTTCTGGCGGGAGTGAATCTTCGCGTGAATACTTGCTAAATCTTCTTCCGAACAAGGTACTTAATTGCTGCTGTGAGCGTATGTTAGAAACAGTTTACCATGCCATCTAAGGAAAGAAAAAACATTGATTTGACTGTTGTAGTAATTCACATGGTCGTATGTGTTATAGTGCCGCGAACTTCAACTCAAGAAGGGAAGAGAAGCTTCTGCTGCAGAAGCATCCAAGTGGCTGGCGGAGTTTCTGTCCCTTCATCTTGACACCTCTTGCAGTTTTTCACTTTGTATACTGATTGCTGGGTGGGAGGAATCGGTAAACATCAGAATCCTCTTTTCCATTTGATTTTCCCTATTACTCTTACAAAATTGATCATTGGTTGTCTTTCTGTAGGGACCTTCACTGTATAAAGTGAAAGGCAATGGAAGACGGCTTGAAGTTAGAGGCTCGTCTGCTGGAACTGGATGTGCTGCAGGTTGCTCTTCTATAATTAAGAACATGTATGTCTCTTCTCCCTACTTTAGTTGTAGCGCGTAAACATGGTCGTGGCCTTCCTTGCCTTGAATATTTAGGAATTGATGCTTGGCCTTTCTGGATGCATCAGATGCTACATTTAAATTGCTTTAATTACTGTTGGGTTTTTTTAAAAAATTAAAATAAAAAATTCAGATCAGGTTTCCTGTATTGTGCCTGATTTTACTCTACTCCTTTAGAACTTTTTGCTGGTTTTTCTATAGGCTCTCTGACGATAACAAGGATATAACCGTGGATAAAGCTAAGGAGTGGGCCAAAAAGACACTTTGTATGTCTGTATATCATGCCCATGAATGTGGAGAATGTGTCAGTGGTAAGTTCCCTGTGGCCACTTTCATTGTTGCACGTTAATGCATGTACTTGGAGATTTGGTTTCTTATCCCTCTACGTCCAATTTTCTAAGAGTTCACTTCGTCGTTCTAATTTTGTTTAACGAAGTGGACTGTTAGAGTGTGATGAAGAGGTTATTCCTTACCTCCCCCACCCCTGCTAATGATTGTGTTCTATTTTCCTGTATGCAAGTCTATTATGTTGGACGTCCTGGGGTCGAACTGGTGGTCTCGAATGAGAATATAATGAAATTGCAAAAGCGGTACTTGAGGGAAGTTGGGCGAAAGTGGGAAGACTTGCGCAAGTACAACAAAGCTCGGGCTCTTGGAATGGGCCTCGAATTGCGCAAGGCTTCTGCTAGCTGAGGAAGAATTGGGTAGCTGCAACGAAGCTCGGACTCATAGTATGGAAAGAGCGTGGCGCTTGCATTTGTTAAATTGCAATAGAAGCTGAAGAAACGCTCCTAGTGGTCGTATGCCGCCTTTTGTGGACTAGCGGGATTTCTAGATTGTCACTTTTGTCTACCTGGGTGACTTCATTACTTTTCTATTGTTGAATCCATAAGACCAATCTATTTATATTTGTGTTTGGTTATAGTTTAGTAAACTCTAGACTTGAAATTTAATTTAATTTATGAGACATTATTTAAATTTAAGTTAATTTAAACTGGCACATGCTTTGTTAGGACAACGTTTTGGAAATGCGATTAGAAGAGATTCATTGAAAGGTTTCCCAACTTGAAAACACTTGGGCTGCCTATAGAAATCACTGTATATGGCTTTCTACCCATTAACTTGTAATAAATCCTCAGAGGCTAAATATGCCAACGTTCATGCAGTTTGTACTCAAAGACACTTCACATTTTTCAAAACAGAAGTTGCTAGAACGGTTATTAGGAACGTTAGAAAGTAGTGGTAAATTGTTTACATTTTCACAAATAACTAGTCATGTCCTGTCTCGTCGCACATTGCACGACATGTTCTTATCCGCATCATTGAATAGCACTATAGTTGTATGTATAAGGATTTTTTTTTTTTTTGGTAAATCACTTTAGCAGAAGGCGCTTTACCAAAGGGACTCCCTCTATCAGCCTCTAATAGTAGCGAGATATAACTCGGGGGAATATCAAAAAAATATATTCCCCTGTCTACTACAGCTAACCCTTCTTCAACGAGGATATCTGCACACAGAATTATTATCTGTGACAGTGTGCACAAAGATCACATCCCAATCAGCCTGTAAAAGGTTATAAATAGCCTTAGCTCGGGATCAAGAGACATTATTATCCGTTCTTGTAGGCGCTTTACCAGATCAATCGCCATTTGAGAGTCAGAATCTACCAGCAATTTTGTGGTGACTTGTTGTTTTGCCACTTCCATGGCAAGCAGGATCGCTCTGAGCTCTGCTGTCTCTATAGAACAAATGCCTTCATTTCTGTGGAACGCCCTGATGAAACGGCCTGCATCATCCCTGAGAACCCCCCCCCCCCTATTGCAGCCTTGCCAGAGAGTGTGCAAATAGCACCGTCACAGTTCACCTTGAGCCACGTTGGAGGTGGTTTCTCCTATCCATGCTTAACCTCTCTGTTGCTACCTCTTCTCTGCCATTGTAGAATTTTTTGGCTTCTATCTATTTCTTCAGATTCTGGACTGCAACTCGGATCGCGCTGTTCACATTAATTATCGTGTCATTAAAAACTCTATCATTCCTCCAAATCCATAGCAACTAGCAAGTTACACCAAAGTTTGCTCGCCATTTCAAATCATCAACATCCAAATTACTCTGCAGCCACTCCTTAATTCCTTGCTGAAAAAAAGACTGTCTCCGATCGCTAGGCACCAGCTGCAACCAAACTTCACGAGCAATGGAACAATCCCGTAACGCATGTAAAACAGTTTTCACTCCCTGGTTACAGCATGAACAAGTATCTACCAAAACAGCCCCCTACGTTTACACAGCTCATTTGTCGGTAACCTTCCATGTAGAGCCAGCCACATAAAGGTTCGGATTCTTTGAGGGCCCGTCCAGCACCACACCCGTTTTCAATCTCTATCTACCTGTAAAACAGACTCTTCAGAAGCTAGAAAATATGCTGATTTTAAAGAAAACTTACCCGACTTATTAAACATCCATCTTGGTCTATCTTTCCCTAAGCTTTCCATAGGTGGAGGCATGCTACAAATTTTTCGCCACCAAATCCCTACTCAAGAATGGGTTTAGTTTTGTAACATCCAAGTTGCCATCCGACCAAGTGAACTCAATTACTGGCTTAGACTTTCATCCTTCTGGTAGCTGGGCTAAAGTTTGGTGAGCAAGTTTGCCCACCCCTTCAACCCAATTATCCTCCCAGAAAAGAATAGTTCTTCCATTACGGATTACCCAAGTCAGCCCCTTTAGAACCAAATGAAACACACCAAAAACACCTTTCCATGTAGGGGATGCATTCTTGTTCCTTCTCAAGTAAAATCCTCCCCTCTCATACTTGCAATACTTAGCTCTGAGTATTTGCACCCACAGGTCATCCTCTTTGCTTACTAATTCCCAACCAATCTTCATCAAGAATGCCATATTACTCTCCCGTGCCTTCCTCAACCCGAGTTTACCCTCCTCTTTGGCATACAAACAGTATCCCAATTAACAAGATGTAGCTTCTTCTTATCTGTGGTAGACCCCCCCCCCCCCACACACACATACACACAAAGTTCCTCACCAGCTTATCCACCTCATCACAAATAAACATGGGAAGTTTGATGGATTGCATCTGAAACATAGGAATTGATTGTAAACAGGACTGTGCAAGTGTAATCCTCCATGCTAGAGATAATTGATTGGCCTTCCAACTAGACAACTTGGACCTAATCTTTTCCAGCAATTCATTATATGTAAACTTTGTGATTCTGCCATGTAGGACTGGAGAGCCAAGATATTTCCCAAGATTGTCTGTCACTCCAAAACCAAATTCATCCCCAATGGACTTCTTCAACTGCCTCGGAGTATTTCCTGAAAAGAAAATCTTTGACCTTTGAGCATTGACCTTCTCCCCGGATAACCTGCAAAAATTAGATAAGATATTTTTTTGTTACTCCTATCTGATCATCAGTTACTTCAGAAAAAAGAGATAAGTCATCCGCAAAAAACAGGTGAGAAACTATAAGACCATCGCCAATGTGTATGCCTTTCCATTCATTCTTATTTACTGAGGCCGTTATGTTATGTGCTAGGATTTCTAAACAAAGTACAAAGAGGTAAGGAGATAGAGAGTCTCCCTATCTGATTCCTCTCATTGAGGCAAAGTTCTCTGAAATTCCCCCATTCCATAAGACTTTCATGCTAGACGTTGAGAAGCAGTGACTAATCAGCTCCACAACCTTCTAAACAAAGTACAAAGAGGTAAGGAGATAGAGAGTCTCCCTATCTGATTCCTCTCGTTGGTGCAAAGTTCTCTGAAATTCCCCCATTCCATAAGACTTTCATGCTAGACGTTGAGATGCAGTGACTAATCAGCTCCACAACCTTCTTAGGAATTGTGCCTACTAAAATTGTTTTCCCAATAAAGTCCCACTCCAACCGATCATAAGCTTTTTCTAAATCAATCTTGATAGCCATCCAACATTTCTTTCCCTTCTTCAACCTCATGGAATGTATAATCTCCTAAACAATCAATGTGTTATCTACCAACTTGCGACCAGGGACAAAATTTGTCTGAGTTCGACTTACCAACTGCTCCATAATTGGCTTTAATCTATTGGCCAATAGCTTTGTCATCACCTTGTAGACAACGGTACACAAGCTGATCGGGCGCAATTGAGAGAGATGGGTGAGTTGCTATGGATATATTTGTTTCGTTTTTTTAGTGTGTGTTTTTAAGTATTTTTTGTTTTGAAAATGTAAAAAAGCGTATTAGAAATGTTAAAAGATATGCTGAGATGGGATAGTTAATAATATAATAATTTAAAAAAACCATTCAATAATTGAAACAAACAAAGGCTTAGTCTTCGTAATGAGAACCAATAATGTTTCATTCAGCTTGGATGTTATTCTCCCCTCTTGAAGGTTTCGACACTTTAATGAACATTCATCAAATGTAAGGGTATTTTTATCTTTTTACATTTCTTTTGATTTTTCAGTAATTAAGAAATAAATAATGATTAAATAATAATTAAATGAATTAAAAAATATTTTCATATTCAAAAAAATCATAAAGTTTTGTTACTTTTGTTCAGTTGGGCCACTGTTATTTAGTTTTAATTTTTAGAAATTCGTTTAATAAAAAAAAAAAAACCTTAAAGCATTCATCTCTTCTAATGCTTCTCGTTTAAGGATTCATCTCTTCAAAAATAAAATTAGCAAGGACGCAATTTTGTTTTCTTTTCTTTTTGCAAGAAATGATTAATCTCCACTGGAACTAGACATTGTTTGAACCATTCAGACGCCATGAATCCAAAGATTAGAACATTCACTAAAAAGAACAGGCTTGAAATAGGAGTAAAAACCAAAGAAGAGGCTCCAAAATAATCCAACTCCATTAAACTGTTGCCACCATTGTCAACCCTTCTGATTTTTGAACAGAAGAAAGCAGGTAGTTTGAACCAATCCATACTCACCACCACCATAACACTGTCTTCCGGCGACCTTCACCAACAACCGAAGCCACCGAATTAGCCGCCCCTCTTCCTTCTCGTTTCGCGGCCAGCCGGGTTCTTTTTTTCCAATCTCTGACCACTGTAACTCGACAGAAATTCTAGAAATAGGTTGCTCATCTATCCCGGACGTATGGGTGAACAAACCCAAGTACCAACTCAGCCCCATCCCCAGTCTCAATCGCCTTCTCCTTCTCAATTCATTTCTGATTCTTCCCCAGTCCCGCTCCCCCCAGTTTCTTCTTCTGTAATTGGCTCCTCCCTCGATGGTAATGTTTTGTTACTCTGCCGTCGCCACTTTCCATCGATTGGCCATTCATCACCATCTTCTCTAACTATCAATCCGACGCTGGGTTCCACCGCATCAATGGGAGCATCGTTCGCCAGATTCGATATTGCCGTGTACCAGATCCGGCATAAGAATTGTATCTTTCACCATTGATAACCTAGATCTAAAATCTACTATCAAAATGGAACATTTATTGCACCAGTAGTTCATAAGAAAATGGATGACTACGGAGGAAATTTGATGGTAATGGAGGAACTCATGAAAGGGAATGAAGAAATGATGAAGAGAACTTCTATTTCAGTATTTTGGCTTTAAGGAGAAAAAATAAAATTGCGGAGGGCCCACGACATATATATATTTTTTTAATTTTTTTGAATCTAACGTAATTCATATTATTATTATATTATGGTTTTATTTCTTAATTATTAGAAAACCAAAAGTCGAGTAAAAAGATGAAAATACCCCTATATTTTCTACGTTCTGTTGGATGGAATATTGAGTCGGGACGTAACTAGTCCAACAAATCGATCTTTTTGGACAAAAAAGGACGAAAATGAATATTTTAGAATGTATGAAATGAAATGATTTTTTCACCAAATGTATAGAAGTTTTCTGGGGTTTACTCCACAAAATATTAAAGAAGTGAAAAAGACAGAAATATGATGTACGCTCTTCTCTAGGGCTATACACGAGTTGAACCGCTCACGAGTTATTCACGAGCTGGCTTAGTCAATAATTGACTTGAACTTGAGTTGACTGAATTTGAACTAGGTTATTTCTCTTCCGAGACAAGCTCCAGCTAGAACAAAAGAAGTTCGATGAATTTTTTACTTTTTGTCATTATTTAACAGCCAAAATTAACAGAATAATTTTGGATGGAATTTTTTACTTTTTGTCATTATTTAACAGCCAAAATTAACAGAATAATTAACAAAATAATTTTCATTAATGACTTGTAGTAAAATTACTCAATAATTCAGTGACATGTCTTGTGATTAATTTTTTTTTTTTTTGGGTGAGTTTTACATCGATTTGCCGTTGATGGATGGTTTATTGGGTGTTTGATCAAGGTTTGGCTCTTTTTGACATCGAGCTTCTCGAGGTCTTTGGCAAGAAAGCTATTCCTGCTAGATCTTTTTGTTTTTTTGGGTCGATATTGAATTCGAGTTCAGTATAAACAGGCTCGAGCTGAGTTCGAATATAGGTGAGCGCGGGTTCAACTCGACTCGTTCATACGCCTACTCTTACTCTTAACATAAGTCAATTGTAAAAAAGAAAACGTTTTGGACTTTTGGGTTCAGAGATATTTTCGTAATCTATATATATTAAAAGAGAATTTGTAATCGACAGGTGTCATTCAGGCAGGAAGTTTAGGATAATTGTACCACGTGTTGTCATCAAAACTCTCTTTCATTAAACAGATAAAAGTTTATTAGTAAATAGTAAAACTATTAAATTAAATTTGAATAATTAACCGAAAGTTTATTTTTAAAAAAAAATAAATAACATGTATTTGGCTATTATTTATGTATATTATAACACCATAATTAATATAAATAAATAATAAATGTATGACATAATGAAATATCAATTATTAAGTAAATAATTATATCACGAATACAAATCCAAACCAAGTCTATATACATCAAATATATGTCAATATTATTTTTCAGATGATTCAATTTGCTAAATTTAACAAAAATAAAAATAGATTAGTTACCAAAATTATATCCTGGACATAATTTGAACATAATTCGAAACCAAATATGAATACATTACACGTGGGTTAATATTATTTTGTAGATGATTACATTTGATATATTTTCCAAAAATAAAAAGAGATTAGTTAAAAAAAAAAGGTAACGCACAACAATGCCCTCATGCTTTTCAAACCTACACAAAACCCCCATGGTTTCAAAACTACGTGAGTACCTCATTGTGATTTTTCAAAATGTGTAAAAAAAAATTGCTAACACTTATGGAGATTGTACATTATGTGCGTGTATATGGAAGTGAAGTTTCTCTTTTCCTCTAATAAAATTTTGTTTTACAAAAATTACCCCTGTCATTATTTTTATGCACGTCCTTTATCTCTAAAAATCAATATATATGTTATTTGTTTTTGCCTAATGTGATTTTAATTTTCTTTTTATGGTTTTCTATTTTTATACCATTGACAAATTCAAAAAAAAATATTTTTTTCCTAATTTTTTTATTTCTGGAAAATCATCAATTCAAAAACCAATTCGAGTAATAAATGGTATTAACAAATTGCTGAAGATATTCAAGAAAATCATCTCTCTATGGGTCGCCAAAACCATCATCAATAAAAATTGTATTTTGGAGAGTAGTACAAAAAAATGAGAAAAAAAAAAGAAGGAAAACTCTGAAACTATAAGAAACTAGTCATGGGCGATCGCGCGTTGTGCGATCAATTCGTAATTCAAAGTTAAAATAATAAATAATCGTAATAAATATCTTTGATTACAAATAAACAAACATTGTTACTTTTAAATAAGCAATTTGAATATATAAATTTTAAATAATAGAGATGAGTGCGAGTAAAAAGTATTGACCACACGACGGAGTTGTTATTATTGCTACTGGCTAACGAGCTCGAATACTTTTTTGTAGACGATGTTTTGAAATTTTTTGTAGATACACCCCGACGAACTCGAGAGTCTGTCTCTAGCACTTATTGATAGTCATTGCAAAGTAGAACTTGACACGAAATTGGAATCTTCCATGTACGTCGATGTCGTCGCATTTAAGTGGTATCCGAAGGATGAACACTGTGTATTTGATGACGAAGTTTGACAATCGTTATTTTTATCCCTATTACCTAGAAATAATGATAAATTTGAGGTCATAATTTCACGAAAAATTATATTACTAATTTTTCTCACATAAAAAATATAAAGGAATTATGATTAGATTATGGGATTGTACCTTTGGTGACATGATCGATGATCATCTTTTGACGACCCGGTTGAGTTGGCATGTGCGAGGTTTGAGTTTTGCTGGAAACGCCTTTGACATTGGTTTGCCAAATGCTTGTTTCCATGTGGCCTAGAGGGATTCTTTCTTACGTATTTTTGTTCCTAACAGCTGTGTTCGTAGCACCTTGATTTTCAAGAGGAGTGTGAGGATTTTTCGCTTGTCTTTTGCCTCGTCTCTGATGCAGCCTTGTAGTCTTCTCAACCAGAGTAAGGCTTGCTGCTCTCACTCATCATTTTTTGTTACGTTCCATGTCACTTGCTGCAATGTATTAAGAAAACGTGTAAGTTGCTAAGTTGAACATATAAAATTTGAGAAATAAAGTAAGTTAGGTTTCACCATATCTATACATGCTCATCAATTCTTTAGGCATGTTGTGGCGGGATGATCAGTTGTAATTTTCATGAGATGATAAACAAACAATCCACAAGGACACTTTTTACCTCGTATTTGCAATATAATCTTGAATGACATAGAACGAAAAATGTAAGAATGACATATATGATTATATTTGTGATAGTAAATTCTTGAAATCCCGACTTTGGAATAAAATAGTAATATAAAAATTTTATTTTATAAATGAAATAGGGAGTGATTGATATTTATCTTAAATTATTGCAAAGTCAAATATCTCTCCCGTGATTTTTGAACTTCTCGGTTCCTATTAAAGTACCAAATTAGATTTATCTCCGAACATTGCTCGGTTTAAAAATAAATTATTAAAATTACCCGCTTTATACAAAAAAAGAAATAGTCCAAAATACAAAACATTTTTAAAAAAATACATACAATGTAAGAACAAAATTTGATCATCACCTTAATAAATCAATTTAGTTGGTTCTCTATTTCTTGGCAGAGAAAAATGATTTTTTAGCGACTCTTGGAGAAATTCTTAGGTGTAAATTTTATAGGGCAAGTAAATGTACATATCTTTAGTTGTTTTTTTTATTTTATCGGCAAGAATAAAAATTTTAAAAAATTATCTTAAATTATAAAATGAAAGAGTAAAAGTTGATCGCCATCTAAATAATCAACTTAGTTGATTCTCTATATTTTGGCAGAGAAAAATGATTCTTTTTGGTGGTTCTTGGAGGGATTCTTATGTGTAATTTTTATAGGGCAATTACATATATTGAAATAATTTTGTATTTATATAGATATTCAAAAAAAAAATAAAAAACTATGATTTTTCCAACATCAACACAAAAGTTGCAAAATATTTGTTGTTGTTGAAACTAATTATGTCAATTTTGCCGTATTCTTAATAATTCCGAGTACCGATAATGACATAAGCGAATAGATCCATTTTTTTGTACAAATATTAAATCTAAGAATGATTAATTAATTTAAAATAATTATTGAAAATCCAACAATGTAAATTATAAATTTGGATAAGAAAAAAAAACAACTTGAGCATAGCGTCGACTTAATCGCCGACTTTGATAAACCCGACGATAAAGTCGACGACCTAGGAACTTCGACGCTGCCGTTTTCAAAGCGGGATTCAAAATCACGACTTCAATTAACCAAAAGAAGAAGGACAAAAATAATCCAAACACTGCGTCGACTGTGAAGTCGACTTTTTTTACAGCAACGAGAAGGCCGACGAAATCGGGCTTGGTAAATGTAGTGCTATAGTCTTATTTGTGATATCAAGTTAAAGAACTATTTGTGTTTTAGTGTTTTATTTATGGAAGATTTCAGGCAGGGTAAATGTAGTGCTTATAATCTTATTTACTTTGTTAAAGACAATTGTGATTGCAAGATCTGATTAATTAAGCTTGTGTGCCTTTAATTGTTGCTTCCTGATTTTCTTCTTTTTCTTCCTTTTTTTTTTTTAATAATCATATAACTGTTTTGTGTCTCATCGACTTGAACGAGAACATGATCATATCGGGACTTAAAACAAATGCAACATCAATTACTACTATATGACACAAAAGAGAAGTACAAATGTGTGTTTACAAACAAATGTAACACCGCCAAACAATATGACTCTGAGATACGCAATACCCGAAACATAATTCACACACTATATAATGAAAATATCACCCCTGAGGAAGGCTGAACTAATCAGAAATTACATAAAAACAAACAGGAAAAACAGAAACGTGTAGTGTGTTGCTAGCTAGGCCAGCTCCATAGACGTCATGAATATGAGCTCATGGCTTGGGCCCCTCTGGCTTTGGTAAAGTTGGCAGCTCAGGTTTTGGCAATGTCGGAATCTCTGGCTTTGGCAGAGTTGGCAGCTCTGGTTTAGGCAATGTAGGAATCTCGGGTTTAGGCAATGTTGGGATTTCAGGTTTTGGCACGGCTGGGATTTCCGGCTTTGGGACGGTAGGGATTTCGGGCTTTGGCACAGTGGGGATTTCGGGTTTAGGCAATGTAGGGATTTCTGGTTTCGGGACAGTGGGAATTTCAGGCTTTGGGATTTCAGGTTTCGGGACAGTGGGAATTTCGGGTTTTGGTAATGTGGGGATTTCTGGCTTTGGGAGTGGTGGCAGCTCTTTAGGTGGCTCAGGCAAGGTTGTCTCCAGGAGCTGACGAGCTTCAGATTGGAATGTGATGCTGCTTATCGATGAAACAGCGATAAGTGCCAGCAAGAGAAGAACTGGATGGTGAGAATTAGCCATTGTTGGAGAATGCAGAAGGCAAAAAAGAACTGCTTTTTGGAAGTTGTATAGAAGAGAGCTTGAAAAATGTTGAAGACCAAAAGTGCTTGTTAGGCTCAAGTTGTGTTGTTTGTGGATGAATGAGAGAAGTCATGCAATCTGGTTTATATAGAGAATGGGAAGTAGAGAGCAAGAGGAAACCTGGCTTTCTGTTGGTCAGAAATTTGTCTGTTTAGTTCAACATCTCACCAATAATTGAAATCTGAATTTGACTATATCTGTTTTATCTGGAAGCTGTTTCTTTGTCTTAAGTTGGTGATTCATAGGGGGATCCACGTATAATCCATTCAGATAAGCAGATTATATTATCCTTAAATTAATCTCCGTTTGATTTCTGTGATGATGAAAATCCATCCAAAAGAAATATACCAAGTCAGAAACAAGGTCATGATTGGTTCATTTAGTTAGGTGAACAACACTCTCAATTGTATCTGATTATATTCTTTTAGATTGTACTATGCAGTCGTAATGGAGATTAAGCCATCTTTTTTTTGTCAAATTAGTTGCTCTGAAACATTGTGGCTTTCTTTTCTAACACAAAGACTTCTTCAGAAAAAGTAGTGGGGGATAAGTTAAGTTGGGTATGTTGTTTGGAAGTTGGGAGTTCCACCTGTGCAATGTCATTGATTATACTAGTTGTCAAACTCGTGAAAATATAACAACTGATTGATTGCATGTACTTTTTATTTTTGAATTCGGATATGAAGTACAGGGAATGATGAAAATGGAAAGCAGTTGCTCAGAGAGAAATTCATTGATTTACTATTAATAACGCCGGAGAGGACCTTTCCACGGGATCAGAAATAAATTTGCTAATTTGTTTACCGAGCAAAGTTAACAAGTAGTACTCCTCTGTCCCAAAATTATTGTCCAGTTTGAGATTTCACTTTTAGTACAATTTGAACTGAAAATAAAAAGTCAAACTGGACAATAATTATGGGACAGAATATTTCTTTTCGCCTCAAAATGATTATTTTGATCCTTGCCAATACAATGTACAGGAGTACAAAAAGTTTGTAGAACAGGAAATTGGCATTGATCAGATTAATGGTGTCCAATCTCAATCATACAAATCCGGAATGACACATGTAAAGGATAACAAAAAAGTACAGAAAGGGCTTATCCATCCTGTGATACAAACTGAAAAAAGAAGCTTACATGGTAATGGCATATCACATGACAATCTCTACCCTGACATTCGATAAAATTGGAATAACAAGGACAAGATGTCACACAACATAATGATACAACAACCAAAAAGGGGGGGAAAAAAGGGAGGGGATGCAGTCATGAACATGTAGCTCAGCACCAAAATTCGCGGTTTTTAATAGAATATTCACCATCTGATTTAGACTCACTTCCCTTGTAATCCAGGGTCCATTTCTCAAATGTACAGTCCACAAAATTATAGTAGCCGCCATGAATTGAGATCCTCCTCTTGGCCACTTTTTCTTCTATCCATGGATAGCTTAGAAGGTTCAGCAATGACTGGTTGATTGACACCTACACAGAAGGAAGGTGAAAGTGCTTTAGTGCCTCAAGCAATACAAACATTTGCAACCCTGAAACAGTGCATATTTGACTCAAACTCATGTTGGACGATGATAAAAATCTTGCCATTCAGCTGAAGTGCTGAACTACTTCCTCATGCATGGATGATGGATCTCAGATATGAGATTGCATACAACACTCAAACAGCATCCCAGGACAATTTGTTGTGGTTTGACAGTTTGGCAACAACTGAGGAGGATAGTTGCGACATTTCTCTTGGTCGTAGAAACTTAATTGCAAATCAAGACATACATCATCAACATTTCTAAAGTACATAATACACGTGCATTATTGGTGTCCTATTGTCAAACTTAACATCGAAAACATCGGTGTCCTATTGTATTCTGACCAATTGTCAACCTTCAGCATACTAATTGAAAATTGACAAAATGATGGCTATAATTTCAAAATACCACAATAGTATAGGAGGTGTCTCAATGGCCAAATAGAGCGTAGACAGGCAGCTTTCCTGAAGTTTAGGCTTTCAGTATTCGGGCATTCATATTGTAAGCATATTTAGCAATCAGATGAAACAACTAACTAGACTTGCTTCCAGGAAATGGCATTCTTAACACGGAAAATTAAGATATGACACTCAGCACAAGCACCTTTTCACAATGCTGGCACTGCTGATCAAAATCGAGGCTTGAAGCATTAGCCTGTGTTCTTATCCTCGCAGGCTTTCCATTACGAACCCAATTTGGTATGAAGTTACTGGAAAAGAAATAACAAATGAATTAGAAAGTTGTGTATATACTATACAGCATACTAACATCTAACGCAAAGGGAACACAGATGGATAAGAATACCTAGAAGTTAAGTCATCATCTGTCATGCTCATCAGGGCTTTAATGCCTCCACAACAGCTGTGACCAACAACTAGTATGTTCTGAACCTACAGAATAGTAATGGGATTGATTAAACGAGTGAAACAGACATACAATACATACACCACAATGAGCTTCTCATCGGAAAACTTCTCCAACAATCTTTAACAGGTGCAAAACAAGGCAAAGGCTAAAATGTTATCATCGAATCTATAAAGAAGATTATCAAATCAGCTGCTTATCAACCAAACCACTGACAAATCTGCCATGAAATAAACATTCTCAGCCAGGGGTAGCAAATGATAATCACGGGAAATATCAGATGTATTGCATCTCATACCACCGTCATCCCCAGAAGTCAAATAATATATTGAAAACAAAGTGTCTACAACCTTGGCCATCTCAAGTTGACAGCATGAAATTACATAAAGAAAGGGAATGTATCTCCAGAGATTGGCTAATAGGTCAACTTACTTCAAGAAAATTAACAGCGAACTCAAGGGCAGCATTTGCTTCTGTGGGTCCATTCTGTAGGAGAATAGTAACATTAACATGAGACGAAAAATCTATATGTCATCTCAAATGTTGATCAATTTACTAACAAACATAGTGGCAAGAAGCCCAAAACAGAAGCAAATGTGGCACTATAAACACCTGATATGGGGGAACAAGATTGGCTATGTTCCGAACCACAAATGCTTCACCTGGTTGAAATCCCAGGATGCTCGACGGACAAACTCTTGAATCTGCACAAGCAATCACCATGAACTATCCTAACAATCGTCAATCCACAAGAATACTTGTTCTCCTTAAAAGAATTTCCATAACAACGAATCACTACTACCTTCGGTTTTTGTTCCTTGGCAAGATTCTCAAAATATTCCATATTCTCCCTGCGATACCAAAACGAAGAAAATTTCCAAATGATTGGAACTAAGTATTTCACTTCCTTAACAGAAGTAGCTAGGCTTATTTCATTTGCTTACAGGTATTGTTCCTTTTTAAAACTCAGAAAGCGTTGCTTCATCTCACTAAAGGGATCGAGTTCATTTTCCACAACTTGAGTGTTCCTTTGCTTGTTAGAGGTCTCCACAACCAGGTTCTGAGATTCCTTCACGGCCCTCGATGAAGCTGAAGTGTTCCTGTGAGAATGAGAGGGTAAAAAGGGACACGTTTTAACAAGTCCACTAGATAGCTGCCGCATCATCCACACCGAAATAAAATAAATTCACATCATTTTATCATTTTCAACCTTGGCATGTTTAGCTTTAATCTTAAACATTAGGCTTTTTACGATATAACAATCAGGAAGGCGAAAAAATTAGAATGTATCTCACAATTTCAATCTACTTCAAATTACCACTTGCAGGATCTGATATTGAGAAATGAAGACAGACCCATAAAACCATAATAGCAGTGAAAACAGCTCAAACGGGGAAAAAAATGAGGCAAAATGACTCCTTTTCTCATTGTGAATTTGGAAAAGTGAACCCAAATCAAAAGGCCAAGGCAGATCAATACAACGTCTTAAACGGGACTAATATAAAAAACTAATTGTTCAATGTACAAAAGAGAAAAGAAACTTAATAAATAGCCATACTGAATAAATGACCTCTGGAAGTTGAAAAAAGAGAAAGTCAGTATTCAATTGACCCCTAAAACAATCTAATATGCAATGGGTCATAACAGCAGAATCGTGATACTTTAAAATGGTCATTACTTCCATCAATCATTCAAAGAAAGACCTAAATATGAACTACACGTGCAGTCTGAACAGAGGTAGGAAGAACCCAAAAAGTTGAAAACAACTTACTTGAAAGAGTCCAATGATTTCAAAAGGATCGGCTTGTTATCCAAGAATCTCAATTGGGAACCAGAAACCTGCTCCATACATCAAACAAAACACGGGGAATCAAGATAAAGCAGCAATCTTTAAACACCATAACCATGCAGAAAAAACGTGTAAACGAGAGAACTTACTCTGAAGGTTACTGGCAGTGTTCTGCGGAGATGGACAGAGGAGTCGGTGGAGGAAGAAGCAGCAGCTACAGAGGTGGGTTGTGGGATCAGCAAAGCCATTTTTGGGAGAGATCTTGCTATTCACGGATTCCAGAGAGTTCCAAGAATGGAAAGTGAAGAGTAAAATTAAAAAATGGGTACGGAATAGATCGAGCTGAAATGCGTAATTATATAGACAAAACCCATATTATGCAGACAAAAACACACAAGAAGATTAGTTTGGGGGGTACTAATTTTTGGTTTAACGTTTGTTAAGCGGATCGAAGGACAGTTGTCTCCTCCAACAAAGGCGGAGAAATCTATATCTATGTTCTTTTTTAATAATGACCCTACTAGTCAGACTGTCTCTTTCTCTTCTTTTCCCGCTTGTATTCACAATCACAAATATACAGCAGGAAGAAGTTTATTTTACAGTAGTAATTGAACACTAACTAATGGTTTTATTACTTTCACATCAGCCTCTAATTGAATTTTTACAACAATCATAGGAGATTTAAGTCGAGTCTTCTAAATGGTTCAATAAAATGTCCGAACAATTGAATTACAATTCTTGTTCATGGATTACGAGTTTATAATAAGAACCCGGAGTAAGTAGTTTATTGCTTAAATAAACAGGAGGTAATCTTGACGTATTTAAGTTAAAGAAGTACTAATAACACATTATATGCGTCGTAAGCACAAGTTACGAAATCTTATCTTCCGGAAGATGGAGAAGAAGCTGTACATGTTGGGGAATATCTGAATCGAAGTTTACCAAGAAAAACAAATTTGATTGACAAATCTCTATAGTTTTGACAACCCTTTTACGGTTTTACCCTGTGGTGTTTTTTTTCGCTTCTTTGTTTAATTGCAGTGTATGTGTATCCAACATTGACAGGATTGAGGCTTCAACTGTATAATAAGATTGCAGAACCTTAGATTACACATCGATTATCTTATTCTCATTACCACAAGAAAATAAAGGAAAGGCCCGAAAATGCTCCATCAAAGAATACTTGCAAGAAAAAATGTAAACGTAACTATGGACTTTAGAAGTATGAGTAGTGCGACCAAAAACGAAAAATTTTCCCAGAAACCTATCTGTGATCAATCAGCAACCTGCAAACTGCTGTTGTTCTATCTCGCTTCAAGCTCAACTCCGAATTTTCATTTGTCAATTTGACTTGTACCTACAGTTCAAACCACCAACAATCTAAAACCAACTAATCCAGATCCCCACCTTGCAAGGATCCAGACTCACAGCTCATTCTGACTTTCTTCAACTAGTTATCCACATTCGCATTCGGTGCCATCATTGAATGTTTCTTGAGTTTACCAAGATCCAGAGGCTTCACAGTACGAAATGTCTAGGTTTGTAATTGATGAATAAAAAGTTAGAGAGTAGCCTTTTAAGCAGAAAACAATTCATCATTAGATCACCAAAGTATATATGTTTCACAAATTGGGGAAAAAAAGTCCCTGAACTTCTCATTATACATGAAACATCCAAGATATTAAAGTCAAGATCAAGTACTGAGATTAGTCACCACTTACCAGATGGCCAAAACTTTTGTCAGAGTTGATTGGTAAATGAGTCGACATAGTAGCATATCTATGAGAAGTATAGCACTTAAGACATAGTAGCTTACATCATTTCACAGAAAATGCTACCAAAAACCCCGAAGGTAGCAGCAAAAAACCTGTTATTGCATACTACTGGTATCAGTTGAACATGTATTCACCACATCCCTAAGAGCAGAGCTCCCAAAACTGACAAATCAACCACCTGCAATAAGTACTTTGTACAGACAGCCGAGCAGCATAACAAGCCCAAAAATTTTTGAGAAGTGAAAAAGCAGAGTGAACAAAAGTGTATGCATCGCAACATATTCCCATCAAAAGAGAAAGGCAAACAAGAAGAAGAAGCTGTGTGTTTTAAACAAGAAGAAGAAGCTGTATGCATCACAACATATTCCCATCAAGAAGAAGAAGCTGTCATGCTCTCTTGCACGTGTGTTTTAAACCATAAAATATAAGACCAACAAGTTCCCTAACAGCAAATATCTAATCATACTATCTCCTGTCAGGTAACAATTTATTCAGAGATGCAACAGGGTAGGCACATATGACCCATTGTTCTCCAAAAATTTCATGTTGTAGAAATCAAGGCAAAACGAGTAAAAAATACAAGAGCAGACAGATGCAGAAGGAAGAAAAAAAAAGCCTAAGGAGAGGTACAGCCCCATAAGAAAATTGCTTCCATAGCTGCATCTATCTAGTGCATGCTGCTCTGCTCAGAACTATCTCAACAGCAATGCAATATATAAGGTTGAAACATCATATTTAAAGATAATAAACTTCGGGAATAATTAAACCATTTTCAGCCTTTTGTCATTAAGAATGTCAATAAAACATCCGATCAAATTTAAGGGAAAAAAGTAGTATCAGTCAGCAATCACAATGCATAATCATACTTCATTTTTGTGTGATATCGGATGGATACCAATCTTAAGCTAATCTCTTTAGAATCAAGATACATTGACCATCTTTTACATATGCAAAACCCCTAACTAGGAATCATCTACGGATGATGCAAGTCGTTGAAACTACAGGATGAAAATATGCCTACTCCGGTGAACAGCCAAGATTCCCTTATAATGCCTAATAACATATCCGAAAAGGCAGGCATCCTGCCTTTGAATGTATTTGAATTGGAGAGCAAAAGCAACAGTTAGCCATAGCTCATTTTTCTCATTAAGCTTAAGCCAAAAACAACACAGAAAATGGATACATTAACAAGTCCTAAGGGAACATAAACAAATACTACAGCTACAACAATGCAAATTCTAATTTACTAGGCAGCTTTGACCTTGTCATCACCTACAACATTGAGTATGGGAAGAGTACTCAGGAATTCATCAAGACCCTCAAAGAACCCACCCCCTTCAATGATGTCCTCCATTCCACGCCCCATTCCATTTGCTTGTATCACCCTTGGTGCGGGCTCTTCACCCTCATTATTAAATTCCACATTCAAGTCTAACTTCCCAAAGTCCTTAGCAACTCTCATAGAATGCCTCCTTGCAACAGCTGGTGCACCTTTCTTATTTAACTCTGCAGCAGATGTGGGAGCGTTTCCAACTCTCTGTCCCTCTTGAACTGCAACCCCTTGTTGCACATTCTCAGGGCCAGTTCTTTCCTTATTGTTTTCCTTGTCAATCTTTGGTTTCCTACCTCTTCGACCAGGTGTTTTGTTAGGTGTTCCAGTAGCCTTGGCTGAGACTTCATTAGCTCTCTTGTCGGATGTTGCTTTTCTCCTCCTAGTTTCAGTTCTCCAATCATCATCATCATCCTCACTTGCATCTGAATATTCCAGAAAGACATCCTCATCATTAACATAGACCCTTGGACCGGAAGCTCTCTTCCTACCATCCGCATTCCCTCTATCCGATCTTCCTCCCGCGTTATCGTTCCGGGGATCTGTGTTCCCACCCCCCGTTCCTCCACTATTATTGTTTCCACTCCAACCCCCAAAACTAGGCCAATTCCCTGGAGGACCTCGATTCCCAGTTCCCTTTGGTAAATTAAACATGGGTGAAAATGGAGTCCATCCACCCTTTTCTTTATTCCTCTCCAAAATCCCCATCGAAACGCCCAATGGCATCATCCCCCAACAACAAAAGTTCACATCTTGCCCATCAGCAACAGGGGGCGGGGGTGGAACTTTCACCCCTTGAAAAGCTTTCTTACAATTCTGACACTTCAATGCACAATCCTCATAAACACTAGGATATTCAAACATGTAATAGCAATATGGACACGCAGTCCAAAAGGTAGATACCCCGTCATCCGAGGATTCATCCGCTCTCCTACCCTCCTCCCCTGCATCACTCGTCCCAATATTCCCATTAACATTATCGACATTATCGTCGGTAGCAACACTAGCACTAGCATTATCATTTATCTCATTATTATTATTATTATCACGAACGCTATCACCGACAATACCAGAAAAGTTATGGGTTACATTGTTACCCACCGTAGTACTCTCTTTCCAAGGTGGCTGAGCCCGCGGTTGAGGCTGCTTGGGAGGAGTCTGCCACGCGGGCATCGGCTGGGGCTGCTGCTGCTGCATCGGCTGCCTCACCGGCTCTTTATTCCGGGCCTGCTGGGGCGTCGGCTGATGCACTGGCTCTTGACTCAGATGATGCTGGGGCACCATCATGCTTGGGGGCGGTTCTCGAACAACTCCAAACTGTGGTTGCTGATGCTGCATCATTTGTTCACTGTTAGCTGATGCATGCTGTTGCTGGGGCATTACCTGGAAGCTTATCTCAAAAGGCTGATGGTTGAATTGTTCCCGGTTCATTCCGGTGTTCATTGGGTTAAACCCGGGACTTACCGGGTTGGGGTTGACTCCGAGGTAAGGCAGAACCTGGTTGTCGTATATGGCTTTCTTAGAGGGATTAGAGAGAACCTGCCAGGCATTAACGATGAGCGTGAAAGCTTGATCCGAAAATGGGAGCTTATTCTTCTGCGGGTTCAGAAGAAGGGCGAGCTTCCGGTACTGATTGGCGATGAGTTCTCCGTCAAGAGACTGCTGGAAGGACAGCTGGAGCACGGAGTACCAGTCGTGGAGGTTATTGATCCGCTTGTCGCCGGCCATGAGGGTCTCGGCGACGGCGATGATTTGGTCGGCGTACAATAGGGTCGGGTCGGATTCCCTAGCCCGCGCCGCGAATGATTTGCTACCGACCAGGTCACGCCCAGCTAAGAGCTTCTCCCCAATTGCCAACCACCGTAAAGCCTCCGCCCTAGTGGTGGCGCTGTTGCTGCTGCTGGCGGTGGTGGTGAAAAATGGAAGCTCCATTTTCCCCCTTTCTTTTTTTTTTTTAACTTTCCTTTTTTTTATAGTTATTATAAAGACACTGAAAAGAGCAAGGGCTAAAGAGCCACACTGAACATTTTCCACTGAATAGACTTTCTGCTCGGCTATAAAGATGGGAAGGAATGGATTTTTTTCCGGTAGACAATAAAGGGCACGTGTTTTATTGCTAAGAAACAAATTTTTGAGTGAGCGACGTGGACTAGTTTCGTCATTTTGCACGACCCTCTTTAATTTGCTTTTGGTGATGTCACTGCCGGACCATGTTTCTGTAGCGCCCCCGATGGTTTTATGGCCCAAAAGTCTCGGGTTATTTGTATTTGGATGGCCTTGCTTCTTCCTACCCAAGTAGCTACGGGCTACGGTATTTTGTTGGTGAGCAATTTTTCAATAATGGTTTGCTCTTAAGGCTCCGTTTCGATCGGTTTTTTTGTCTTTGTTTCTCTTTTTTTTGGAAAATATAATTAAAACAAATATGATGAAATAGAAATTATAGTAGTAGTTATTATAGTACAAATTTTAATAAAAAAAGGTGCTTTTTAAAAAAAAAAAATAAAAAAATAAAATAGGTTGAGCCTCTAAATGTATTGAACCAAATTGGAAACCAGGAATTATAAATACGGTAACAAATGTTCAAAGTTTACAATGTTTTAAAATTTGCAATGTGATTATTTTTTTTAGGACACACAGAAATACAAATTGATGCGATAATTTTATGAAACCTCAAAACTTTTGAAGCTCCAAAAAGTCACACACAAAATATCGTACGGAGGAGGGAGGCAGGTTGGTACGGCATCACCACGAACGTCACAAACCTCCTGCCATGATTTTCCTTCTTTTTTTCTCTACCAGTACGGAAATAGAGAGATGTAAATATCGTAGCCCTACTACCCTATTTACAATTTTGACTCACAGTAACTTTCGTTTCTTTGTTCGTATACGATTGGTATAAATACATACGCCTGGCAGCTCTGGCCAGCATCAAGTTGTGGCCAGGATTATTTTGTGTTATTTACATCAGGAATTCATTTTCTTTGACTTGTATCCCAATCCGTCCACGTACGAAATAATGGAAAATTACACGAAATGCTCACTGATATAGAACTATGAAATTACGTAGCCCGTAGCTCCCATCATACATATCGTTATTACTTAAATATCATGTGATAATATTTTGCAATTGTGAAACTTTCAGTGTTGACGTAGTAAACAACGGAATATTATAATAAATAACTTTCGTATACAATAGTTGGTTGAATAATGCAAGTCACTCAATTGGTCAACCTGAAGTCTGTTATTGTTGCACAGCCCGTCTAGCTGGTCTAAATTTTAAAAAAGCATGATTGGTACCCCGTTTTCTACATCAATTTTAACTAATAATTTCAATAAAAATTGATTGTAAAAATAAAACCCAAAAAACATATTAAGTGGAGGATTTCAACAAAACGCATAGCAAACATTGAAACTCTTAATCTTAACTTTTGTTGCTTTATATTTTTAATATAAATTACAAATTCCTATGATATTTTTTTTACATAAACACCTACATTAGAAAAGAAGTGCCAGTAAGTTTTTTCAATAGAGCGATTGTGTTACCTTTAAAAAATCTACTTATAAAATCTGATTGTGACACGTTTTATTCATATAACAAATTCAAATACTGTTAAATCTAAAACTAAATTTATTAGAGAAAAATTTTAAGAAATAGATAGAAAAAAAATGTAGGAAAACGTAACTATTACTAAAATTATAAAGTGCCCGCAGTTTTGCTTTCCCGTCCCCAATTCCTACAATTTTAAAACAATATGAAAAAATGGCAATCGTGAAAAATTCTTGAACTAATAAATAATTCCTACAAAATGATAAATGAGACTCCATTAAGGAGAAAAGGAAGCAAATGAAAAATAAAAATCACTCAATGCAAAATTTTTCAATTGATTTACATATGGCAGATTTAGATGTCAAGAAAGACAAAGATGGATTGGGAGGCAAGATAAAGGATGAGAGTTGAACAAAAATATCAAGAAAAAGACTTTAGATTACAAGGATATGAAATTTGGGACATCATCCTATTAAACAAAAACCAAAATCCGATACAAACAAAATAATGCATATAATCCATTCCTTTTAATCCGAAATAATTTGCTTTCTATGTAAGTATAGCTTCCTCTATGTCACAAAATAAAATGAAATAAAAAATATTTACGTATCAATATTAATTCTATAACCAAGTAGTCATAATTGATATGGAAAAAATAAAATAAATATCATGTTCTATACTTGTATGGTTGCATATCTTCAATAGTGCTTTAACTTTTTTGTCTCCCCGTGGCCATTTTTTGACATTATCACTCATGTCATCTTGTCCAAATAAATATATAATAATTAAATCATAAAAAATAAAATCAGATCATTACAAAAACTGTAAAAATTTCCAAACTGAAATGCTAAAAGAACGACTTGGTAGTTCCACGTCATTCTCCGATGGAAATATAAGGTATAAAACTTATCCCAACTGCATCTAATTTATGTTTTTTATTTGTAAATAAAAGGTTGTGTGGATTGTTTAATCTGCTGATATTTATATTCATGATTTTGGTGAAAAATGTTAAATATCAAAATTCTCTTAAGATTAAATTTATATTTTAGCCCATTAGAACTATACTTGTAGAAAACTAATTTTAACATTGTTTTCTTTTGATTCTTTTCAAAAACAGTATTTTGTATCTCACCAAAATAATAATATAAACTCCCATGGGACCGAAATATTTATACTGAATTTCTATTCTCATCAAACGATTTATATCAAAATCTAAAAAAATCTTCTACAAGAAACTGTCAATTCTTATCTATTTTAATACCATTTTTTTTTCATTTCTTTGTTTTGAAAATATTCATAATTGCGTGAGATAGATTTATGTCACAGTCATTAAGAAGCAACAATTTTTTTAAAAAATTAACGAAAAGATAAATATGGTAAATATATTAAAATCACAAAAAAGGGTAATATAGACAGTTTGAAAAAAAAATTGCTCTGATTATTCAAAAAAAAAACTGACATATCAATTACCTTTTTGAATTACTAATATTTTAAAGAATTGATATGAAACAAGTAATTAAATAAATGGAATCAAATTTATATTTTCTTGATTAAATAAATATCTTTAATTAATCAAATTAGTTTTTCATCTAATTATTTTAGGAATGAATTTTACTCATAGATAATATAGTAATTCGTTAAGATCAAACTATCAAATTTGATTCTCGTAATTGATCAAGCTACTAATAAATGGTTAAAAGATATGGGTGAAAAGTAAATTAAAATGTACAATTTACTTAAAATTTTAATCATTTAATGAAGAAGGCTTTCTTACGTTGACAACTGGCAAACAAAAGCTCTCAACTTAACATGTGGTAAAAAAAATTCTAAACTACTTAATTGATCGACACTTGTTGATTGAAAACTCTTTTAATATATAAAATGTAGATTTTACACAAATATGAAGTTTTACAAACAAAATTAAATGAAAATGACGAGTTCTTTTATAAGCGTTATTACTGCTTTGAGACTATATGATGCAGATTTCCCTAAAGGGGCCTTAAATTTGGCTCGCCGAGTTAAGGAGTCAACATCTCGGCAGATATAAAAAAAAAATAAAAATGAATAAGGTACGATATTACAAAGTAAATACTTATACCAAAAAAAACTTATCAATAAATAAATTAATGAAACAATATATATTATGGAATATCTCATCCTTTATTTTGAGAGTATCGATGACATAAAAAAATCCTTGAAGTATAGATGGTAATTATGGACAATCAAGTTTATGATTTTTAATTCTTCCAAAGAACTGAAACTTTGAGGTGTCTATTTAATTAATCCATTATTATGATCCACGAGAATTAAACCGGAACTCACTATGCATTCGGAATTTCATTTCCACGTGTCCATGAATGATTATGGAAAGAAATCCTTCACTTTTACCCTCTCACTGCATTCATTCCAAAATCCGAACCCCAAAAAAATAAAAAAGGAAAAAAAAATTAAAAATCACTCTTTCCATCCTAAAATTATTGTCCAATTTGGACTTTTATTTTTATTTCAATTTGCACTTGAAATAAAAGGACACAACGAGATTTAACATGAAACCTAAATGATCACAAAGCGGGGGAGACGTCTTTTATTCTTCGTCTTGAGGAGGTTTGTTTTCCCATGTTTTCTTTTCTCCCTTCTGTTTGGGTGCTTCGATTCACTGGGGGTTTTGTATTGTTATTTAAAAAAAAAAAAAAGAAAAAACAAAGAAAAAGAAACACACACACACATAGCTGGGAGATAAAATTTATTTCTTTACTTTCTCCTTTCTTTCATGGGTTAGATAAAATTCTCCTTTCTTTTTAGCAAAACATCATCCTTTAAGTTGTGGAGATTTTGGAGATTGTGTGAATATATTAATAATGTGTTGATTCTAGAATATTAGCATTTGATACAAATAATTTTTTGAGAACCTAACACTATAGAGGGATCTGCCGTAAGTTAGCTTTTGTATGGTGTATCAGATTGTTATTTACTTAAAAATTGACAGGTGATATCTTATGTTGATGATTTTGTTTGTTGTTCTGCATAAAAATTTTAAATAAAATGTTTCAATAGATTTGTTATTCGTTGCTGGAAGTTTTAATTTAAGATTACAGAAAATGAGAAGAAAAAAAGTTGCACAAGTTTTTTTTTTTTCTAATTTGGAGAAGGAAAAAAAGTTACTCAAGTTTTTTTGATTTCGAAAAGAAAAAGAAGTTACACAATTTTTTCTTTTTTTTTATTTTGATTTGAAATAGGAGATTTGCTTTTACTGGATCCATAAAAGAGAAGAGAAAATGAGGAAAATTCATTACAATATGTATTATTGTTAATTCGAATGATTTTGCTCTTTATCTAACAAAATAGCTTTGCATTTATCAATTGCCATAAATGTGTTAAAATTTTATGTGTAATGATATTATCTCAGTCTCGAAGGTTAAAGAGTCGCTATAATCTTTATCTTTCTAGAAGTCTCGCCGTTGCATCTCCTCACGGAGTCCTTTGATCTCATTAATCAAGTGCTAATTAACTCTTACGTTGTGTGCCTGCATAGCATCAAGAAGGTCTACCTCTAAGTTCATCACTGTCTCGATGCTGTGAATATCTGCATGGCTCCTCATAATATTACTGATCATCGAGTACAGAGGATACTCCCTCGATTGTTCCTCAGATAAGACCATAAGGTGAATTCGGTAAACAGACCAACTATCCTGTTCCAGGAGAAAATATAAGGGCTAATATCAAATTGCGAGATAGCAAAAGTGCAGCAATTGAATAAGTGCCAGATGAAAACAAAAGTTGATTTCAAGAATAATTGTTCAAACTCCTTGCAACTATTATAAGAGGAAAGGATTCATACAACATCTTGGCCAAAAGAGTTGTCCTTTGGAAGACTCCGAGACGTCTCTTCAGTATTCTTCTGGGCTCCTGAATGGCAAGTGTCAGCCACGTCTTCCTCTGAGGCCTCGTCATCGGCGTTCTCGAGCTCGATACCCATGTACTCATCCGGAACCTCAAGGATTGGCTCTTCTTCGCTTGGGTCCTTGGACGAGACTGTTGCGAGATCACTAGGAAACGTGGTGATTTTCTCAGGAGTACCCATCTTGGCAAGAGCTCCGCATAAAGGCTCCCATAGAGGTAGCTGCTCGATGCTGAGCTTGGTGAGAACATTTACCAGCGCCTCGTGCATGGCCTTCTTCGGGTTTTCCTTTAGGAAATACTTGAACCACTTGGCCTTGATAGGCCTGTCCCTATTAAGTCTCTTGAGGCCCGCAACAGCTACTTTATAGGCTCCATACTTCGTGGCAGCCATATTAACTTCCTCGATAGCATCCTGAACCAGAACCCGGCACACCATTTACGTAGGTCCTCCCTCAAGATATGCAGATTCGAGAAGGCCTTAAGCTTCTCGTCCAGCTCATTGTACTTTGCCTGCACAGACGTTAGCTCTTATTCCTTGGCCTGAATCTACTGAGACTTCTCTTCTAGAGCAATCCTCTCGATGAATCCTTGGTCTCTCTCGGTTCGAGCTTGAACTAGTTCCTCCTTCAACTTCCTTAAGTGCATCAAGTACGCTATCGAGGCTGCACTCATCTGTAAAATTCAGTGAATAGAATAAAGTTTATCTGCAGGATATTTGCACGAATATTTCTGAGTGATGTAAAGTACTTACCAGCCTCACATTGTCGGTCTCATTCAATTGAGCAGCAAATTCTTCCAACAGGGGGAATTCGATAGCTAGAGGATCGCCAAATGTGTGAACTGCCACGGTTGGACCTCCCTCGAACAGTTGAGGGGGCAAGATGGCTGTCTCTCACTTGAGAGGGGTTTTGCCTTCGTCTGCGACATGTGGTTTACTGCTTGGTCCAGATTCCATCAGCAGAACGTGGGTCTCCTTGATGGATTGGGGAACAATTTTTTCTCCCTGCACCGTTGATTCTGTTGCAGGCACGTCGGCCTTCGCCTTATTGTTTTTCTCCTTCTCGGGGCCCTTTACAATTCTCTTCTTTTTCTTCTTCGGTGCAGCGCCTACAGGGGCCGAGACTTCCTCATTTGAATTCACAATAGGAAATGGGTCTTCATCACTATAAAGTCGAGAACCAGCATTACTCGACCGCATGACCTAAAAACAACAAAAGCAATAAAAAGAGATTAGTACCTCCTCAACAGGAACAGAGGGAATATAGTGCTGCACGTCACTCCACTTAATGAGTTTTGGGTACTTCATGATTTTCTTTAGATCATCATCAATTTCCTTGACGTTCTCGTCATCCTCCTTAGTCCGCTCATCCTTTATCACCCCGAGACTTTCTACTTCTCGATGGTTCCATGCAATGCAATACTTCTCGGAAACCTTCACAAATAGGTATTTAGGCTTACATTCAGGTGAACCTCCATGTGCATCGACCATCTTCTTAACACCTGATCTGAGGCGTCTTTTGACAATGTACCAATCTTGGAATGATGTCGAGGGAACAAAAACTTGGAAAAAATACCTCTACAGAATTAGTTGGGGCTTCACCTTTACTCATTGGCAAATCTTTGCGAACCCGAGTACAAAGGTTATCAAGTTCGGTGTAAAACGAGCAAGAGGGGTTTTGTAATGTTGAATAATCTCCTCGAACAGAGGGAAGAGGGGGAATCTTAGTCCTAAATGCATGAAGCGATCGTATATGGTAATTCTTCCCTAGGAGAATTACCATATGCAGAGGAGAATTAGCTCTCTAGGTTTGGGGCTCTAGCTTCTAGATCTAGGGGCAGGTTATATCTCATTCTTACACCTTTTACCTTCTCATCGGAATCTTCGGATCTAGGTTTCTAGCCATAGTTCCCTACTTACAACAATAAGTTTAGATCTACACTGGCTTATCCTGAAATTTGAAACTAAAAAGGCTGAAAATAAAATAAAAAGAGGGGAATCTAGGAAGTTACGGTTGAAATAGGTTTCCATTCGCCTTTTGAATTATATCCCCCAAGAATTCCGACGACTATTATTCCGGCGATTCTGAAAAGAGCTGTAGTGACAACGGCGAAATCAAAGATGCTGAAGCAACTAAGGGAAGTGCTAATCTTTGGATGATGTTCTCGACACGGATTCCTTTGAATAAGCAACCGTCCCTTCTTTGACGGGGAGGATGCGGGATAAGTATTCCGGCGACTTTTCAAGAATGAGAAGTTATGGAATGTCTCAAACAATAAAAAGGTAGTCAATCGACCCACGATTCGACGGTTTCTCTATTTTCAATGAGACATATTGATATGAAGCCGCCGTTTTGGAAACGTGCAGAGTAATGGGCGTGTTTGCACCCATTTAGGCGGGATTCTGCGTCGAATCACATCCCCGAATCAGATCCTGACCCACGAATTACCCCATCATGCCTGTTCGATATAACGTGGGCCGAGACTTGTCCATTCAATTTGGGCTGGGTCCAAGTATTGTTTATTTTGTGTCAAGCATTGTTTATTTCATACAACTAATACTTGACAGGGGCACTTGACGAGTCCATATCCACTGAGAGCTATTGGACCGGCCCATCCACTTACTATGGACCAACCGACCTTACAGAGGCAGTTCTGGAACATGAAACCTAATAGGATTCGACCTCCTTCAAGGTAACTCCATGCTTATAAATAGGGTTGGTCACACCACAATACATGTACGCTATATCTAGCACAGAATACTATTCATATACGTTCTTAAAAAACCTCATACTAAGTATCGGAGAGTCTACTCTCGGGAGACCATCCGAGTCCCTCTTTTGCAGGAAACCCTAGCCGGAGTCCCGCTACTAAGCTGGTGGTGTAAATCCAGGCTTCGTCAACAGTGTACCAGAAATTAGATGTAGTTTGTTACCCGTTGAGGGTATATATATAATATTATAATAATTAACTTTAGATTATATGTGAGAGTTTACTCAGTCGCGGAATAATGTTCACTTTTTCGCTACAAGTTCATTTGAAATTGAAAAAAAATTTATCGTGCCGTGTCGTGGCCTGAATGGTCCGAAAGATATAAATTTTTTTTTGGTATACTACACACTGTTCTCCGAAATCATTGTTGTGACTAAAATATATTTACAATTTTTTGTGTAGTGTAATTTGGACCATTGATTGATTCGTCACCAATTGAACTCCCTTACTATGCACAAAAATGAACACAATTACACACTCATCTCACTTTCTCACAAGAAATAGAAAATAAAGAAGAAGAAGAACTTTTTTTTTGACAGCAGAAGAAGAAGAACAACCTTGAATTAATGTTTCGTATCACTGGAAAATTTCTCTAAAAACGATTCACCTATTAAATTATTGTTTCCTGAGGGTAAACAAATATACCCAAAATTTGGGTCCACATCTGCATTTTGACGAGGGCGCGACACACTGGATTATTACCCTCCACAATTCTGGTTGGGCTTCCCGCTAAAGACCCGTTCTGTCACTGGAGCTCGATAAACACTCCCGCGCCTTCCCTCTTAAACAACCTCTCTCATCATTTCCCCTTCTTTCTCACACTCTGTTCTTCCAACTCCCTTTCCATCCAAAATTACAATTTCATCATTTCCCTGTAATTGTTTAATCAGATTCAGCAGAAAGATCTGATCTTTAGAAGTAAAAAATCTGATCAGAGATGGATGAAGAGTATGATGTGATCGTTCTGGGCACCGGTCTCAAGGAATGCATTCTAAGTGGGCTTCTCTCCGTTGATGGACTCAAAGTATGATCTTATATATTTTCCTCTCTCTCTTTTTTTTTTCCTGTTGTGTAATGCATGCTTTATATTCACCATGTTTGTGTTTGTGAAGACAAAAATGATGCAGGGCCATTCTGTGTTTTTAAAATTTCCTGAACAAGATTTTAACACCCACAATGGCCCTGTTGTTACTTAAATCAAAAGTCGAATCATGTTCCTTACTGTGGTGAAATGATGTAATATTAGAAAACGCTTTATGGATTTAGCTGGGATGTGTTTGATTTTTGACTGTGTAATCATTTCAAACAGGTACTGCACATGGACAAAAATGACTACTATGGAGGAGCATCTAGCTCGCTTAGTTTAAATCAGGTGCGTGTTTTCACTGGTATTCGTTGTGATTCTTGGGCAAATCGACTATGTTGAATTTATTGAGAAATCTCTGGATTTGATAAAACTCTCTCTTCTTGTTGTTCATAGCTTTGGAAGCGTTTTAGAGGTGACGGTGAGCCCCCTGAACAGTTGGGCTCAAGCAAGGAGTATAATGTTGACATGATCCCCAAGGTATTATCGTTTCCTCAATGCTATCTATAGCGGTCAAGATCAAATCGTGGTGCTTTTAGGTGCTATATTGCGTGTTCTTAGGTAACTTTTCTTCTGATGAAGTATTTATTTTTGTTGTTTGTTTTGGGTAGTTCATGATGGCTAATGGAGCTCTTGTCCGTGTACTCATCCATACTAATGTCACCAAGTATCTAAACTTTAAGGCTGTTGATGGCAGTTTTGTGTATAACAAAGGGAAGGTATAGCTGTTGCTTGTAGTTTCTAATTTGGCCAATATGCCCATTGCATTCTATATACATCCATCCAATCACTTTGGTCTCTTAAAACTTGTTAATATTATAGATATATAAAGTCCCTGCAACTGATGTGGAGGCGCTAACATCTTCGCTGATGGGACTGTTTGAGAAGCGCCGTCTCAGGAAATTCTTCATTTTTGTCCAAGAATTTGAGGAGAGCAATCCTAAAAGTCATGAAGGAATGGATTTGAACGCGATCACTGCAAAGGAACTTATCTCGTAAGTCTTGTTTAATAATCAATTGTAATCTCTTATGCTTAACTCTGAATTTGAGCTAATCGGCTACTAGAAATGTTGAATTTAAATAACTCAATAGTGCACTGGTTATACTTTCTCCAGGAAGATCTGCTTTACAGTCATTAGTTTATATGATTTTCAGGCCAACCAAAATGGAAATATATTAATTTTGATATCTGAAAAAACTTTTGAATTCTTTTCTGTTAGCTTAACTACTGAAATGAGGCTTTGCTTGAATCATTGAGTTACCAGAAGCATTTGGGGTGAGGAAAACCATGAGTATTCAGCTAATAGAATTCAATCAAACTCCCAGTTGTGGAGAAGAATTAATGAAAAATGATTTTGGGTAGGAAACTACAAGCATAAGAAACAATTGACATTTCGTGTGGATCAATTATTAATGCAGGAAATATGAACTTGAAGATGATACAATTGATTTTATTGGTCATGCCCTGGCTCTTCACATTGATGATACTTATTTGAACCAGCCTGCCATGTTTTTTGTGAAGAGAGTGAAGGTGAGTTTTTTTTCTGAGTTTGTGGTTGTTGTCCACTAAAGATGTCAATTTTACCTTTTGAATTTTGAGATTGAGAAAGAGATGCAATATGATTATATTTATCATCCGTCCTTGTTCTTCTTTCAACAGTTATATGCAGAGTCTTTGGCCCGCTTTCGAGCAGGATCTCCTTACATTTATCCATTGTATGGACTTGGAGAATTGCCTCAGGTTTGTCCCCAACTCTTTAATAGAGGCCCATCTTTTCTTCTGTTTAATTAATTTGGTAATATATGGTGATCGTCTGCAGGCATTTGCACGTCTCAGTGCCGTTTATGGGGGTACATATATGCTAAACAAGCCCCAGTGCAAGGTGAATATTTCTAACTTGTTTGCCTCTAGAAAATCTCTTACTGCCAAATCTTCTGCTGTAATATTTTTCAGGAAAACAAAAGGCTCTTGTGGAAAAAGTAGGTTACAGTAGCGGTTATCTAATCTTTGTTAATGACCACTTTTCTTCCTTGTAGTTATTTTCTCCAGTATAGGCTCTGAGAGCTCATCATTAATTTATGCAACTTCTTTTTAAATGAAAAATTTCTCCAATCAAAGCTTAATTTTTTTTTTCTTTTTTCCCTCTATCCAGTAATAGTACAATGTCGTTTCAGGTGGAGTTTGATTCAGATGGAAAAGCTATTGGCGTGACGTCTGAAGGAGAAACTGCCAAGTGCAAGAAAGTTGTTTGTGATCCATCATATCTATCTGAAAAGGTACACCATAAATGAGGACCAAGTTACCTTCCATATAAAGTTCTTAGCCTTGGTCTTGACTGTTCGATCTCTGAGATTGATCATGCGAACGCTTTTCTTAAAGTTATTACATTAATTTCTGTTTTGGAATTCAATGCAAATAACAGGTCAAGAAGGTTGGAAGAGTTGCCCGTGCTATATGCATAATGAGCCATCCAATTCCCGACACGAATGATTCTCACTCATGTCAGGTCATTCTGCCACAGAAGCAGCTTGGTCGTAAATCTGATATGTATGTTTTCCACCCTAGCTGAGAGTCACCTTATGTTTCTTACTTCTATGTAGTGATATTCATCTAAAAGTTCTATGCCTATCTATCCTTTAAAGATGATGCAATCAACAGAAGCATGCATTCATACTTTTTATATCAGCAAATGTTTGTGATCCACCTTTTTTTTAATACTTTTACAAGCATTTTCCCTTACTACATGAACAACTTTGCTTTCAATAGTGACTGTCCTTACATCTGATCCCAGAATCATTTTGGAAATTCTTAGAAGTAAAAACTTCCCTAACTGATAATCAATAAGATCCTGAAGCTGTTATCTTTTGCAGCATTTTCATCACTGCTACACAAATATTGGCAATAATTTTGTAGCGACAATTATGGTATAATATAGCTCGACAGAGAGTTACATGTTGTCCCATAATAAAATCTGGAAACAGATATGCCATCTAAGAGCCCAAACTACGGGGGAAACTGCAGTACATTTTTCTTTCTATGGCTTTACTTCTGGTAAACTTATGCAAAGCTTCCGCAGGTATCTATTCTGTTGCTCATATGCTCACAATGTTGCTCCAAAGGGAAAGTATATTGCGTTTGTTGCAACAGAAGCTGAGACAGATGATCCACAAACTGAACTAAAACCGGGAGTAGACCTGCTTGGAGCTGTGGATGAGATATTCTATGAAACTTATGACAGATTTGAACCCACAAACGATCCTAATGTCGACCATTGTTATGTAACTGCTGTAAGTGTCAACCTAATGTTCTGATATCTGTGCCTGTTGGTTTTAGCATTTGCATTATACTTTCACTTCCTTTTCCTGATTTTACTTTTTATGTCAACCTTGTTGATGTAGTTGGATTTGTCGTTGCTCATTAAAGTTTCAGTCGATGCATAAATCCTATTTCAGATCAAAGGAACAGTCATTTTGTGCATTTGAAATGTGATATTTTATCTAGGAAGATCTTTGTTGCAACTGATCTGATGCTGTTCTTAATTCCTGCAGAGTTATGATGGAACAACACATTTTGAATCCACGGTAACTGATGTAATAGCAATGTACAGCAAGATAACTGGGAAGGTAAAGTATATTTAGATAATTGACTTTAGTCGAATAGCTACAAATTCTAATCCTAACTTCTGTATTTCTTTTCATCTTGATTCTAATGGACTGTTCTTCTATTCCGTGCAGGCTCTTGATCTGTCTGTGGACTTGAGTGCCGCCAGTGCTGCTGCTGCTGAATAATCTCTATTCTGCAATGTTTGAACTTCAATCAGGATGAGCATTTTAGCCTGAGGAAGTTGATAAAAGTTTTGTTCATCAATAGATTCATTGTTTCATTTTTGTTCTCCAATTTGGGCTGGTCCATCTTTTAGATATTTGGTTTTCACGTACTTATCTAAAGATTCATTGAGCTCCTCATTCAGGATTTTGATTAGTCAGAATGTTAGAAAGTATTCATTATTGTCTAAAACTCGAGAATTGTGTTTGCTCAGTTCACAAATTGAGTTGTTATTCGTGTAACCTCATGAGCGTAAGAGCATCCGCAGTGCTGCGTAACTGGCATTGAAAGTTGGGCCAGTTACGCGCACTTTTACTCCACACCATTGTGGAGAGTATTGTGTGTATAGGGACTTCTCTGTGTGTTATGCGACTTTTTCTGAAAAAAGTGAGTTAGAGATGAGTCGCTTCATAAATGTGTCCAATGCTAATTTTTGTGGAACTAACATGTGATCTGGTTACAATATACACTGGTCAAATTGGGACCACCAAATTCATTATACCCAAGTATATTGTCTCATTATTATGATTGTGATAGTTCTCATAATTTCTGAAATCCCAACTATCAAGAATCAATGCTACGGATCTTTTTCTAACCCAACAAAATAGGCTGAATTGGTAATGAGTGTAATTTTGGTGTCTTTGAGATAATGTGCGTTTTTATCATGAATGAGACTATATTTGTTGATCCAGAAACATTAAGGATGACATTTGTTTTTGCATGAATGTTTAGGGACTATAGTTGTTATTTTTATATCTTGACTTGATTTTGGACCGGGAACACTCCTCTCTAGTCTTCAGTCTTGGCACGACCCATCATCGGTAGGTCGAATCAATTCTGAGAAAAAGAAGAAAATCGGGACGAAGGAGAAACAAAGAAATTAGCCATTTTCATTCATTGTTTCTACAGAATAGAGAAGGCGTCTTTTATTCCGTCGTAATTGCCTAACTATTATATATTTGTAACCCCAGACCTTATATGTTTAACTAATTCTATTTTCACCCTTCATTCCATGACAAGTCTCCACCCGTTAAATTGGGCCAGTATGGCATAGTAGGCCCAAGCCCATTTCTCCGGAATAGAAAGAACCGATGAGACTGTCCTTTTTTCTTCTCTCTACCGGAAAATCCATCTTTTCCCGGTTACAGTGTTTCTCATGTCCAACTCGGAATCCGCTATTAAATTTAAATTTCAAACACCGTCGAGGCGTCGGCACATCATCACCTCTTATATATATAACTTGGTATCGCCAGAGGTTGATCGCTTTTTTGCCGGAGAGACGGAGATTACATTACTATGGTGAAGCCTACTAGGAGGAGTAGCAGCAGCAATCCCACGAGAAACAGTAAATACGGTGTCTTCGATTTTGCAGAGGACGAGGCACTTGTCGAGAAGGAAGCTCAGAAAAAGTTGTCCAAGTATTCCGCAACTGAAGATGTCGACAAGTACACTTTCCTCGAGTGCTGTAGGTTCTCTTGCAACCTTTTTTAGTACCGTATTGGTATGCGCGCGTGTGTGTGTGTTTTATTCTTCACAATTACTTACAATTTTATTTATCATATCGAGTTAATGTCTGATTGATTTTGGTGCGTGGCGTCTGGGTGATTTAGTTTTAGTATTTGCTTTGAGTCTGCATGTTGACTGATTAGTGATCACGAATTCTAATTTGGTCGGAAGTGTAGCTTAGTGATCAAGGTCATTTGCTTGCATTTATTGATCTTCAAGTTTGAATGTCTTCGTAGTTGCTGGAGGGGAGGAGAAGGTTGGAGATTCCTTAAAGAAGGAACCTCTGGATGTTGACCATTATTACCTTGTACAGGAAGAGGCAATCCTTAAGTTGGATGCTGTTTTATCTTGTTCTTCAGACTGCGAAGAATTGGGTCATTTTCCAGCTGATGTCAAAGACTCGGCATGTTCTTCCCCTGGGAAGCCTTCCTGCCCTCGGGAAGGCAGAAAACTTGGAGGTTTAGTGGCTAATGAAAAGCATCTACAGAGCTTTCAGCCTCTAGCTACATCTAGTGTATTTATCTTCTTCTTTTGGTTGTTCTTCCCATTGGAAGCGATGATTGCATCAGTAATTTCTAATCTCAAACTTTTGCAGAATCAGCCACTTTTTATTGATTCTGATGATGAACAAGAAAAGAAAGAATCTCCAGCAAGAGTGCTGATCTGTGTAGATTCAGATGAGGAGCATGGGAACTCGGCAACAGGTTTCTCCTTAATGCTTTGAACTTTTGTGTTCATTTCAATCTCTTATTTGGCCTAATAAGATATTTCTTTTCTGTCTCAAATTGATTTAATGTGTTGTCTGTCGGCGTGCAGATTTGGTAGAAGAACAGCCATCCAGCCATGATTCTAATGCACATCAGTATGTAAGTATCTCCATTTTAGAACTGAGTTTGCATGATTAGAATATATGCTAGTTATTGTTGAACATATTTGTAAAAAGTTTTTGTGAATATGTGAAACCTTTTCATCATTTCTTTATATTTACTTTTCCTGTTATTTTTTTTAAGAGGATAATCATACAATGTTTTTTCAAATTTATTACCTGTTATTTTGACGCTTATATTTGTATGTGCAGGAACCAGCTGTGGTTGTAAAACCTGATTGTATTTTTTGTGGGAATATGTATTGTACAGCTTCTACAATGACTTTTTCTCCCAGATCCGTTAGGCTAGAAGGCTCGTTTAATCGAGTAAACATATCTTTTGACTTCAACTGGCCAATTTCGGACTTTGAGAAAATAACCTGCCTTTGGTATAAAGAAGTAAGTAATTATTGTTTTTACTTAACTGTAGTTTATCATCTAAGACATGGATTTGTCTTCTAGTTTGTTAAAATATCTTGCCAATTTTAGGTGGAAACTGTTGTTGTGTCACTACATCTCAAGTCTTGGGAGGAAAAAGTAGCTGAGATTGACAAGAGGTTTTCAGGTTTAATTCTTTCTGTTAAATTGCTTTATCAATTATGATTGTTGGTCTTTTCCTATTCAAATGGTTGGACTTTTGCACCTTTATTATTTGGTTTTTTTGGTCAGGATATCTTTTTTTTCCACTTAAAATTTTGTAATTTTTCATCTTTTCTCTCTTTCTTTCTCTTTCACTTGTTGGTATCAAATACTGCATGGGAAATGGAAAACGCATGGTTGTAGGGCTTATGGATTTAGAGTCGCTAACTTATTGTTTACTCTATCTAATGAAGGAAGGAAGTGATAATGTTCATCCATGGGTACTTCTTTTTGTCTTCATTGAGTGGTATGCACAGGGTAGAGAATTTCATCTGCTAAGCTTAACTGATGAAGATTCAAGTTGAACCCCAGGGTTTACGAATGCCTTTGATGGTGCTCTTCTTATCACGAGCAGTCTAGTTCTTGTAATGTATTGAGGCAGAATTTGCATGCATATTTTGGTTATGATAGAATCTGCCTCTTTGCTTGGTTTGGCTTGGAGAAATTTTTTATTTTTTTCTTTTTCATTTCTAGCAGTCTTTCCTGCATGATTCTGGTGCGTTGTGCTAAATTTTACTTGAGATTTCTTCTTTCGAAAGAATGAATACATGTGAGAGAATGTATTAGCTAGATGAGAGTATATGTCTGATTTGTATGATGCATAGCAATGACCTTATTGCACTAATTTTATCTGTTATATGTTCCCCATATTGCCTTTCATGAGCTTATTAGCGCATCTAATCTAGTATGTTTCCCCATACTAGATTAGATAGGTTTAGAAATGAGTGTATTAGAGAGAAAGTAGGGGTAGCTCCAATAGACGAAAAAATGAGAGAAAATCGCCTGAGATGGTTTGGACATGTGCGTAGGAGACCGATAGAGGCCCCGGTTTGGAGGGTAGAAACTATAGAAGCAAGAACTCAAATTAAAAGGGGTAGGGGTAGACCTAAGAAAACATGTAAAGAAACTATCAAAAATGATTTGAAATATTTGAATTTGTCCGATGATTTATGATCCATATAGCCGACCCCGCCTAGTGGGAAAAAGGCTTGTTGTTGTTGTATTAGCGCATCTCAAATATTTCAGAAGACAAGTTTGTGTCAGAAATTTCAGTTGACGTTCTCCATTTCTGCGGTTAACAAATTCGTGTCACCTTTCTCTCCATTTCTGCAGAAAAAATGGTCGCAGATCAGTTGACTTTTTCTGTCAATGACCCTAAGTGGAAAGAAAGACAAGAAGAAATCGAATCACTTAATCCAAGATACAAAATTATCCTGACTACCATTCTCGAGTAAGTATGATGTATCAACTCAAGTGCGATTGTTGTTTTCGAGATACTTGCTGGTTACTGGAAGATTCTGTGTGTGTGTGTGTGTGTGCGCGCGCGCGTGTGCATGAGCTAGAGAATTCTGAATTCTGCACATTCTTTGAAGCGCACATAGATATAGGAACAATGGGAGTTTGGGTATGCACTTTTGTCCATTTTCCTCACGAAGTAGCATGCGAGCATCATAATATCACCCATTAAAACTCAACCTTCTGGAACAACTAGGAGTACATTCATCACCCAATAGTCTTGTGGGGTAGACTGGGTGAACACATAGTTCTTTCAGCTCTCTATGTTGTCCATGACCACTTTGCTAGTTAGGTCTGTGCTCTATTTCTCTCCAATGGACCATCCCTTAGCTAGCATAGAAGGAGTCAGAACAGCCACTGATCATCTTACAATTCGGAGAGTACAGAGTAAAATAGAGATGTTTGCAATAAGCATAGAGGCTTAGCTAACATAGAAGGTGCCGAAACAGCTACTGATTATCTTGCAATTCAGAGATTACAGAGTAGTAGAAAGGTGGAGGTTGCAATAGGCAGTGAGGCTTTGCTTCTATTGTGTGCTTTGGATATTGAGAGTGGCTGAGTGGGTGATATCTGTTTCCCAGAACAAAATCAAGCCCTTTTGAAACTTCTTGTTGGCCAGAGTACTTTTGTGCATTGTGGTTAGTGCAGACTAGGGAAAAGAGTCTGTGGGAAGATCTTCTTACTTGTGAAGCTTATGGTTTGATTACTTGAGGCGTAAATCAAATGCCAAATTAGGTTTTGCATTTTCAGTGAAGGAAAATTATTGATTTCACTTGTGTCCACGGAGAATATTTTAGTGATTCCCTAGTTGATTTCACTTCTATCTTACGAACTACTACTACTGACATGGTATCATTTCATTTCAGCATCGATTTTATATGGAGTGAATTTTCATCACCAGGACAGAAAGGCATCTACGTTTCAGAGGATTGTGCTACTAAGTAAGAATCCTCACTAATCTTGTCTTGTCTTGTCTTTAGATGTATTCTGTCAAACTCAGTTCTTAGAATTTTTATCTGGGAAAGTCTAAATGACTAATTTCTTATGCATCTTATGACAACGTGGTTTCCATAATATGGTAAAGTTTTGTAATTATGACATGTTTCAGGTTTACATAGATTTACCAGATTGATTGGTTGGGGTTCTTTGTTAATTTTGACTTTGAAACTTTGTTCTCGTTTGCCCTGTTTTATGCTTTCTTTTTGGAAATTCTGCACGAAGTATGTGTTTGTCCTTTGAAGATAAGTGAGGATAATTTGTGGTAATTTGTGGTGATTTGAAGATAAGTAAGTCAGAAATCGCTCTTTAGTGGCACATTTAGCAATTTATACTTGCTTTACCATGGCTCTTCTGGCTTTGTTTATGTAGAATTGCCTTTTCTTTTGGTTGAGGAAAAGAAAAGGACCACAGATTCCGTAGCGTCTAATTTTTTGTCCAGTTCTATTAGATGTTTTACTCGTGGAAATTGTTGGCTATTCAGTTTCTTATGTTGGGCAATTGTAGTGAGGTATTGGAAGACTTTGTGTATCCGAAAGGGGATCCTGATGCTGTCATCATTGGCAAGAAAGATGTGGAGTTATTGAAACCGGCCACATTTGTCAATGACACGATAATTGACTTCTATGTTAAGTAAGTTTTGATGGAGGGTTTTTCTATTTTTCTGATCTCTTTTGTTTTCTGTATAATATTTTCATTCATATTGCTATGATCTATAAGTCAATAAATGCCGGACACACCTTCTCAACAATGCTTCTTAACGAGCTATAACAGTACTTGATGGGCTGACAACATACAGTTATTCTTTACCCTTCTTTTTCCATGGTAACATATGTGAAGGAACCATTTTTCATTGATGAAGGGATAAAGAGGGTAACTGACACTGTTTCAGGACCAGCGTGTTTTGTGCCTCTATAAAAAAGATATATACCGCTTTTGAGTTTCTTCTTTCTTTGTTTTTATATTTTCCCTTTATTTTTCCTTTCTTGTTTTGCTTTTTTTTTTTTTTTATATTACTGGTTTGCCCCTAGTATATGACCATGATGCATCTGATCACGATGTATCAGCACAGCCCAACAACAGCAGCAACTAAGCTTTTATTCTACCATTTGGAATCAAGCATATGGAATTTATATTGACATCTACCCTTCACAGCACCTTCTCATATTCATGGACTAAAAAAGTTGGTTTTAATCCCCTTTCTTATTGAAGTTAAGAACTAATAATCTCTCTGTCATAGTTTAGCTGCTTTTGGGTTTATTTTGCATACAGGGTACACATGCTTAAACATTTGATTCAACAGACTTCGAGTTGAAGTGTGAAATGAGAAACCGAATGCTGTAGAAGAACTTGGTGTCTGCCAAAATTGGCCTTTTTTGTAGTTTCTTTTAGAAATTAATCCGTTCCTTCCAGTGACTGTTGAAACAGGCTGGAAATTTCAAATGTGTTTGTAAATTGAAGGTTTTGTTTCACATGTTGTCATTACGATTACCAGAAAGTGAGATGTTTACTTGCAATTTTTCCCTGCTTTTATTAAATATTTTGTTTATTAATCTTTGATGTTTTGAGATGGACCAATTAGTTGTAAAGTTTTCGTCTAAACTTCTTCCAAAGTTTAACAAGATATAACCTGTTTGGCAGGTACCTTTGGCAGAAAATGAGTCCAGAGCAGCAGCATAGATTCCATTTTTTCAACTGTTTTTTCTTTAGAAAGCTAGCTGATTTGGACAAAGATCTGTCAACAGCTTGTGAAGGAAGAGCAGCCTTCCAACGTGTCCGTAAGTGGACAAGAAAAGTGAATCTCTTTGAAAAGGATTTCTTGTTTATTCCTGTGAATTTCAGGTTTGTGACTAGTTATAAAACCTTATCAATGTCTTGGTTTTTATTGGTGCTATCTCTAACATGGATGATCACATATGACAGCCTACATTGGAGTTTGATAGTTATTTGTCACCCTGGAGAAGCGGCTCATTACCAAAGTACGTGATCTCGTTCATTTTTTGATTGTGTTGTTATGAAACCTAAATGTTAAATTTTCATATAATGTTTTACAGATGACGGAGTGGAGGCGTCATCCAGAGTTCCATGTATCTTGCACATGGACTCTATCAGAGGACACCACAGAGGGCTCAAAAATCTTTTCCAAAGGTGCCGTCTACAGTAGTACTGAATATTGCTCAGTAATATTCTAGGTTTGGTTGTCTATGTTGAATTCATCGTTATAAATCTCAACAAGAATGATACTTCTTTGTCTGTAGTGCTCCAGTCTCCTTGTTGTGGTAGATGGTGGAAACTGCCAGTCAATTGAGTCTTTTAATCACTATAATCATTATGCTTGTTGTCAGCATCATAATCATCAAAACACTCTGTTTATCTTTCTCTTTGAAACTTTTGTATCTTAAATATGACTCTGAGGGAGTTAACTGTGACAGAATCCTTTCCTCTCTTTGAGGGGGAAAAAATGTATTGTTTATACGGTTGGCAGGATTGAAATTTCAGAAATTCCAAACTCCACTAAGCTGAAGGTTGAATTACTTATTGAATACATGAGACCAAGCAGCATGCAAAGTATTTTATGCATGCGGAAATTCTGGGGAAAATTTTAGCATGTGGTTAATATAAGTATTATGCTGTGATAAATTTATTAACAGAGACTATATTCCTTTTATCAGTCTGCTCAGAGCCTATGTAAATAATGATCAAATCTGAAAGTCATTCTTGTCACTAGGATTGATGACATGTGCATGTTGCTTTAGCAGGAATGATCACGGCTAAATAAGCCTTTAACGGTGGGTTTAGCCTGCACTTGCCATCTTTTAAGTTTAATCAGGAGAAATATTTTAAAGTTTCTGAGATTGAAATAGTTGTGTGTTAAATTTGTCGTGATATTTGCTTCTGAATTTTTGGTGGTTTTCCGTCATTGCTGCTGAGTGAGTTACATACTTTTTGCCAATGAAATTGCAGTTACTTGTGGGAAGAATGGAAAGAGAGGCATCATAATATTTCCGAAGATATTCATACAAATTTCTTGAAACTGCAGTTTATCAGTCTAAAGGTTCTCTCTGTCCCCCTCTCCCTCCCTCCCTCGCCGTCTTCCCTTCTCTCCCTTCCCCCATCCAGTAGATTCATTAGGATTATGAGTAATACTCCGGTTCCCAAAAAAAAAAAATTATATTGAGTTTTGAAACTGGTACTGTTTATAGTGCAAATCTCTAAACTGAATGTGTACTATTTTCTGGGATAGAGGATGTAACAATTAATGGTCAAATCCAGCTGGTTAATTTACTAAGGTTAATCTCTTCTGCTTTGGTGCCCCTATCTGAGGTGGATCTGTTGTTTCTCAAATTTATCTTGTTCCTTTCTTCATTTGAGATATATCCATGGAGGATAATTTGGGGATAGTTCAAATCATAAAAGTGACATGAGTTTTATTATCAAAATTAGGGTGCAGTTCAACAGATTTCTTGACATGACTGAATTCTCAAGTTGTCTGAGTTGAACATTTCTCTCTTTTTCGGCCCTTATTATAGTTTTTAGTACTCCCTTTATCCCAGAAAAATAGTCCACATTGAGTTTTGAGATTTGTACTAGAATCAATACAAAACTCTGAACTCAATGTGGATTATTTTTTTAGGACAGAGGTTTTTTTTTTTCTTAATAGGCTTAATAACGAAAAATCTCATATGTTTAATTTCTTTTCAGCTCCCGCAGCAAGAAAACTCTTTTGATTGTGGGCTTTTCCTTCTTTATTATGTGGAACGCTTCGTGAAGCAGGCTCCTGTCAGCTACAACCCTTCTAATGGAAACTTCGTAAGTTGTTGTTTTCAAGTTTTGGGCCGAGTATTAGACTGCAAAACTGGAATGTGTAACTAACTTATTAATCTTCTTGTGGTAATTAAACTTCCATGTAGTGGGGTGAACACTTAAAATGTTCACTTACTACTACTGCAGAGGTATTATATGACTGAAGCTAGTTCTTTATTGTGTTTAACTTTGGAGATAGAAGATAGAATATGTGGAAAATTTTTTACTTTGTTAATCTTGTTATGTCACTTATATCTCCCTCTCTGTGTCTGCCCTGTGCATTTTCTAGGGTTAATGGTGGATGCATTGATCTTTGTTGGCTCATACGATATTGGATTTGTAATTTGTGGCATGATATTTGCACTATTGCAGCTAAACCAGGATTGGTTCCAACCTGCAGAAGCTTCAAACCGACGTAGTTACATCAGAAGTTTGATTTATCAAGTTTGCCGTGAGAACGCTGAGAAACATCCTCCAGATGATGATAAGGCTTCTTCAGACAGTATAGTTGAGAACAATGTTGGTGAAGGATTTCGACGGGAAACATGGGATGGGAGATACAAGTATCGCGCTGATTATTGTGGAAGTGATCAGAAAAAAGTTGCAACACCTGGAAGCACTCCAACGAATTTGCGGAGACAAAACTTAATCCTTGCTGATGACTCATTTAATCAGAGCTGCAAACATTTGTCTCCGATAGAGGTAAATGATTTTAGTTGCTATCATTCAAGGATAGAGCAGCTTTCTGAAACTTGCCCCTCACTAATAGTTAACCATTTAAAAAAAAATATTAAGTTTGAGCATATCCTAATTAGGCCTTCTAGCTCTGGTTGAGCTCAGTGTAACACGGAATAACCTGTTGAAGAATGTCCCTTTTTGAATTGGTTTGATATCATCCACATGCTCTTATAACATTTTCGAGAAATCAACTGGAACCATAATACCTCTTATCTAATATATTGTGGATTCAGGAGAATTCTTAATAATTCTTATTTGTGAAGCAGGAGGAGAAAGCAAGTGCAGAGAAAACGGCATTATCGTCAACAGCTGGCAACCGAAATGCAGCTGCCTCTGTTTCAGGAGTTCCAATGGTTTTGGATGATGAAAGTGTGGAGACTTTTAACAACTCACAAATAGCACCAGCTTTACAGGATAAAGAAAAGCGTGTCTCTGAAGTGGAGGAATTGGCTCCTGAAGAACTTGCGGTATGCATCATTCCAGATTCTCAGGAAGAAAGTTCAAACATGGTTATTGACTATGATGCAGATGACCATAGAGAAAAGCTAGTCCCAGAAGTGGAGGAGTTGGCTCCCGAAGAACTTGCACTCAGTGACGTTCCAGATTCTCAGGAGGAAAGTTCAAACATGGTTATCGACAATGATGTAGATGACCATAGAGAAAAGCTTGTCCCAGAAGTGGAGAAAGAACTTGCAATCGTTGACGTTCCAGATTCTCAGGAGGAAAGTTCAAACAAGGTTATGGGTGATGATGCAGATGACCATACCCGGGAAGCCATAGGTACTGATCACTGTAATTTTAGAAATGATTATACTTGTACTGATGAAAGGGTAGATAACTCTAAAACAGACAAGGCCTCCTCTGAAAACAAACAGTAACATGTGTTGGGTAGTCTGAGGAAGTAAAATCGTAAGAATCTCGCCATACAGTTTTTGTTCGTAATTGATCGTGCTTGATCCTTATGCATGTGTATATATAACTCGAATTATTCTCCAATTATTTAGATTATTTGTTAAAAGATTAGAGAGTTTAATCTATGTTGTGGCGCAGATTCACGAGGAAGTTATAAAGGGCTGATGAGAGGGTTATACTTATTTGAGAAGGGTTGCATGAAGCTTTTGAAAGGCTGATGGTGAAAGGCAAGTGTGAATAGAGCTTGTTATCTAATTTATTTCTTTTTAACATTTAGAGAAGTATAATCTAGTTATTTTGAATACGAATATGGTTTGATTTTCTTTTATGAGGAATTTAAATCAAATTTCTTTACTAATTTAATCATGCATTTATGAAAAAAAGTGATGATATAAGTGGGAAAAATTACATTAAATACCTCATTTCATGTACGGAATTCGACTTAACCTTTGTGGACAATTATCTCATCTTAATTTATTTGAATTTTTTTTTTTGTTTATCTACAACGATGGAAATGTCAGATCGAATAAATGTATTCCAGAGCACAAAGTATCAAGTTGTGGTTACCCAAATTAAATGAAATGGAAAAGAATTAAGCATGATAAAACGATCTACAATAATTTGTCATTTGCATATATATATATATATATATATATATATATATATAGTTTCCTGTTTGACAATCTATATCCGTTAGAACTTCCCTGATGATCAAATTGTTAAAACTGGGGCATAATAAAGTTTGTACGACTCTCTCCGCACAAATTTTAAGACCCAAAAAACAGAAAACAGCAGCTTATGTTTGCAAATTGTATCGTTTCAATCACATTGTATAAAAAAAAATCATTTATTTTGATAGGTTTTTTTTTTTTGAAGTAAATTTTATTTTGATACTTGTTTCGTTTATTATTTGTAACAGAGAGGAGGCATTAAATAATAATCCCACGATGTAATATAAAATCGCTGCAAAGTCCAATTTTCTTGGTTCTTAAATTGTCAAATCATCCAGCAACCATACTGTAAGCACCATATTATCATCCTCACACTTTAACATGCCAAATAATATACAGTACGTTATGGGAATCTCCCCGTACGTAATAAACATGCCTGGTGATAATCCTCACACCCTAAAAATTCCAAAACTCAATTACTTTGTAGAGTTTCCAAATAAATGAAGAATCGTTATTTTTGGGAAGTTCATGGCAAAGAGTTAGATGCACAATGGAAACTCAAATCACTGTTCCACATTGCATCCAATCGCATGTAAGAAGCAAAACTTAATCACTTGATTTTGTGTTCCTATTATTTACCTTTGCGGAATGAATGTACGTACATATTTATATGCTATGTGAGTTTCGTAAGAATAATTATTCAGTACAATTACTATACCTAATAAATCATAGAAGTATAGAACCTGAAGAAATGCAATTTGATGCATTCTATATTTTTTTTCCCTAAGAAGTTAGCTGCCTGTTCCCAATCAATAATCGACATCGATTATTTAATATTCTTTTTCTTCCACATGAAATGGCAAGCAGGACCCCAATTTCATTTGGTCTCAGCAAAATCATAGCTGCCATTTGGTGGGGGGATCTCGAACAGTTCCTTATTTGTCATTTTATAATTCAAAGTTGCATGTTTTTTATTCTAGCAATATATAATTATATATAATTGGCACTACTACATATCTTTAGTTAGTGGTACAGAAATGGAAATCCAAGTCTATAATAATAATTTTCACGTTCTCAACTTTGCAGTACATTAAAGCAAGAGGGCCCTGATGGCGATAGCGCGGCAGTAATCCTGATTCATGTGAACCTTATTTCTTCTTCTTCTTCCTGCTTTTCCCTGTTGGTTTTAATATAATTACAAAAATAAATCACATAAGATTTTTTATTTTAAAAAAAAAACTTTTTGGAGTACATATATAATGATAGAGGCACAACAAAAACACTAGATAAATTATTAAGTTTATCATATAATAAATAGTATCGACCGATAACTTAACAACTTTCTGCTGTATTCTAGTTCTAATTAATCCGATATATCTAGCTAGATGTTCATTTCGTTTTGATCGTTAATTTGGTTTCGTGTATGAATAGTTTTAGTTGCCAGATGCGAGCCAGTTTTATCGCACAATTATCAATCAAATCAATTTTCCTTAGTGTAATGTCAGTGTTGTCAGGCTCGGACCGGAGCTCGACTCGGCATTAGCTAAGGGTCGAATGAATCGGGGGTCGACTCGGGATAAATCGGGGGTCAAATCGGATGATGTCATAATGACGCAATAAACATTAATAAATTAAAAATTATATTTTTAATAAAATTTTATAAATTTTATATAGATTTGTTAATTATTCTAGTCAAATTAGTGCTTCAGAGTTCTCCAATCATTTTTTTATGGAACACAATTATGACATTACATATACGATTAGTTTAATTAACTTTAATTATAATTAAAAAATTAATAAATTTGATACACAATTGACTTTTATCATTAAAAATTTACATTGTATGTTTAGTCAATTAATATGACTATAACTTTTTGTTTGCTTTAATTTAAAATGATAAATGTTGATTTATTTATTTAGTTCGTAACATTTTACTTTAGTCTCAAATAATGATTTTTACTCAATTTAGTGTGTAGGATGTGGCTTGGATGGTTAAAATAAATATTTAGATCTATAAATTTGAAATTAAGAGTTTGATCTCACAAATATACAAGTTATGGGTCATTAAAAACATAGAAGATCTAATTGGAGAGTAAAAGTAAAAAATCAGAATTGAATAGACCTCAAAAGTAAGGAAAAAAATTTTAAAAAATTTGAAAATCAACCCAAAAGGTTAAAACTCGGTTCGATATGGTTTTGACCGATTCCCAGTTCAACCAGGTTTTGGACCAGTTTTGACCAAGTCTTAGACAGACAATTTTACTATATGCTCGGCTCGGCTTGAGGTCCGGTTCCCAATTAACTCGGTTTGACCGGCCGGTCCGAACCGAGCTTAACAACACTGTGTAATGTACTAATTTACTTTACCAACAACTCTTTACGATGACTTAGACCATAAAAGATGACTAGCAGGACAATGATTGTTTCTTACCTGCTCCGAGTCAATTTTCATACAGATATTTCATTGCCCAGAATGTATGCATTTAAAATGTCTACTGAATTCAGCTGGCAAAAATTTCAATAATTAAATAGAGTAAATGATATGTCCTTCTAGGAAAAAAAAAATAGCTGCATTCGTGCCGTACGTTAATCATTTTACGAACTCCTAAGTTTAAACCCACCAAATTAACTTCCTAGAATATATTGAACAATACTAATATGAGTGTAGACAAACGGGGTTTATTTGTATTAAGGTGTATAATTTGTTCCATATCGCTATCGTGAAAAAAGTGATTCAGTATATAAGTTTCAAAATTTTATTCACTCATTACCAATTAGTTTTGAGATGGGAGTACAAAGTACTTACATACTTTAACAATTTACTTACAAAGAAAATAATAAAATCAGAAATAAAAGTACACGCGATTATGAACTTAGATAGTAACTGAAATGATATATTCGCCATCATGCTGATATTTCTTGATAATGTGCATGATTTGGTGCAATAATGTCATTTCATCATTTATCATTTCAATTGACAGTAAAGATCATCGTTCATATGGGGATCAATAACAGTTACCAGGCAGGCAAGTATAATATAAAAATCGGTTAAAATTCTATATATTGTTTTTTGTTTATAGAATCACTAATGGAAAAAATTGTGAAAATGCACAATTGATGGTGACAAGAATGACGTGATATTCATGAACTTGTCGCAATCATACAAGTGGATCAGAATCTTGCGTGCTTTTCCTTTTTTGGAGTTAGAAAATTAATTCACCTGTAGATTAATCTTGCCTGCAATTAATCCTTGTTTAAAGTTTAATTAGCACATAGTTTTTTCTTTACATTATTATTATTTCTTTGACATGAATCATGAATAATATTGATCACATCCACACTAATTCTTATTTGAGTTGAATAAAACTCTTTGAAAAGGTAAAACTTTCACAATAAATATCTTTAATCATTGAAAAATGGATTATAGTATAATCAGTTTGTCCTTTAGCAAATATCTTGTGCAGAGTAGATATATGTCTAATTTGACATGCTAACATATTACCGTCTTATTGGGCGTCCGATCCCAAAAAAAAAAAAAAAAAAAAAAAAAAAAACAAAACAAAAAGAAAAACACAACATAATACTCCTACGAAAGACGTATTGTACATATAATATTTTTTTGGACTATAAATAAGTAGCTTTCGAAACCCTTAAGCTGCACGTACTTCAAAGAGCCTTTTTTTAGGGTCTTCAAACATTAGTAATAATATTTTGGAGCTCTCTCACTTCCGCACAATGGCAGCCACCACCATCAACTTCCTTAATGTTCCTTCCAAAACCACACTTCTTCCCACAAATAATTACGGACACGGCTTCAACTTTAAATTCTCCGAGCAACTTTCTTCCGGCCGCTCTACCCGCCGGAATTTCTCGCATTCTTGTCCCACATTGCGGTGTACGACCATGGCCACCGCCAAGGTCATCGAGCAACCTGATCAGAAAGTTGTAGTGAGGCGCTCAGGAAACTATGAGGCACCACTTTGGAGTTTCGATCACATTCAATCCCTCGACAATGGATATTCGGTATATATATTTATTTCATAATTCGTTACCATTAAATTTATGAGTAACATACATTTACTGATGAATAAATTCATAACAATATCTGTTATATATAGTGACTGTTGCGAGACTGTTTCATCAAATTAAAAGTTCATTAAATAATTGGAACGTCATGTCAGTAACTATGACATTAATGGATGTGACGTATAGAAATTAATCGAGTGTTTGAGAAAATGCAGGCTGAGAAATACCTGAGGAGGGCTAATGATTTAAAAGAACAAGTGAAAATGATGCTTCGGGAAGATAATATGGTGCTGCTGGATTGTTTGGAGCTTGTTGATAAATTGGAAAGATTGGGAATCTCCTACCATTTTGAAGAACAAATTGACAAGATATTAAGAAGCGTATACAGCCGTACGAGAGATGGACCCGAAAGAAGCAACAAAGATTTGTACGCCGCGGCTCTTGAATTTCGAGTATTCAGACAACATGGTTTTCATGTCTCTCAAGGTATATACGGATTTCTACCCCAATAAATAAATAATCAAAAAAATGATACTTTTCATGTTTTTCATGCGCAGTTATATTCATGTTGGAATTTCACCAGATTCTCCACGAACTTATTTTTGCCATTATTTTTATTTTCTGGGTTTGCAGATATATTTAATCCATTCATGAACGAAAATGGTGATGAGTTCGATCACGGCCTCATTGAGGATACAGAAGGAATCCGGGCTTTGTATGAAGCTTGTTTTCTAGCATTGGAAGGTGAAACCAAGTTAGATATTGCAAGGGAATTCACAACTGAAAACCTCAAGAACAAGCTAGAAAATGGGAAAATGGACCAAAATATGAGTTATTTAGTGCACCATGCGCTAGAGCTTCCTTTGAGGTGGAGAGTACCAAGAATAGAGGCAAGGTGGTACATTGATGCATACGAGAGAAGTCCAAACAAGAACCCTATTTTGCTCGAGCTTGCCAAGTTGGACTTTAACATCGTACAAGCGACACATCAGCAAGACCTCAAACACGTAGCAAGGTTAGTATAAATGTAAATTCGGCGACAAATAACTGACAGATGATTCGTATATATAACCGACTTTATATAGTGACGAACTGAAGATATAAAGACGTATATGTCATTAATATGCATTTTTACTTTTTTGTTTTTTTTTGCGCGTGATTACTTTAAAGGTGGTGGGAGGACTCAAAAATTGCGGAGAAGTTGCCATTTATAAGGAACAGAGTCGTGGAGAATTTCTTTTGGACGATTGGAGTGGTTTTTGAGCCTCAATATGGGAGTTGTAGAAGAATGCTGGCCAAGGTCTTCGTTTTGATCACAATGATAGATGACATTTACGATGTTTATGGAACTTTAGAGGAATTGGAACTGTTTACTGATGCCATCGACAGGTTGGTTTTGGTAGCTAAAATCAATAATTAAGTACACGTTTAATTTATTAATAATCCACTCCCAAGAGTTAAAATTCACACAACTTCTACTCATTGACTGTTTCTATGATTAATACTACTACCTGGTTCTTTTCAGATGGGATGTCAAAGCCATGGATCAACTTCCGGAATACATGAGAGTTGGATTTCTTGGATTTTTCAATTCCATCAACGAGATGGCCTACGATGCCCTAAAAGAACAAGGCGCACATATTGTGGGATACCTAAGAAAAGTGGTAAGCCCTATGCATGAATCACGACTCGAGTCGTTTTTTATACTTACAATAAATAATGATCTTAATTATCAGATAATTTAATTAGAATATAAAAAATAACTCTTATTTTACGAGTAATTGATGGGTAATTATTAAATCATAAAACTAGTTAGATGAATGTGTAACGGTTTTTTTTTTTTTTTTGGTGTTTTGATGGGAAATGGACCTTTTTTTCTTTTTTTTTTTGGTTTGCAGTGGGCCGATCTCTGCAAAGCATATATGCAAGAAGCAAGATGGTACTACAGTGGATATACACCAACCGTGGAGCAATACCTAGATAATGCTTGGGTTTCCATTTCAGTTCCGGTCATGTTAATGCATGTTTATGCAGTCATCACTAATCCCATGAGCAAGCAAGCCATGGATTGCCTTGATAGTCACAACGTTGTTCGTTGGTCATCATTCATATTACGATTTGCTGATGATTTGGGAACATCCCCGGTAAGCTATGTAACAAATTAATTACCGATTCTTTTTGGCTGATTAATTCTGGTTAATTGTTGAATGATTAATATCGAGTGTTGACAGAAACAATGAATGGATTGTGTGATCTGATCCCTGATTTGATGTGACACACATAAAACGTCATTTCAATTATTTTACTGTGAATAACTTAATCGTCTTTATTACTATTACATATTTTCTTCATTACTTTTAGAGTTTATAGACTCTAAGCATATCTTAATTAAAATTCTTATGGGTTCACGACCAAAAAATAAAATAAAATAAAATAGTAATGTTGAATTTTACTTAATTCTAGGGTGAGATGAAGAGAGGTGACGTGGCCAAAACGATGCAATGTTACATGAAGGAAACTGGGTGTTCAGAAGAAGAAGCCAGAGAACACTTGTGGTATCTGTTGAGAGAAACATGGAAGAAAATGAACAGAGATTCGGTGGCAGAATCGCCATTTTCAAGGACATTTGTGAGGGCTGCCAAGAACTTTGGAAGAGTGGCACTGGTAATGTACCAATATGGAGATGGCCATGGTCTCAATTCCAATCCCGAAGCCAAAGATCGCATTTTGACTTCACTCTTCACTCCGGTTCCCCTTTCTAATAATTAAATCAGTTTGCCTACTACTTTTTCAATAATTGGTTCTACATTTATATCATTCTTGCATTGATTTGGACAGACATGAAAAGTTCATTAAATTCGTGTTAGTTAATTTGCTTTATAATGATGTACTACGTGTTCTTGGTCAGTATCGATCATACGTACCATTGAGGAACCATGCATATCTAGCTAGGAGGTTTCTTCACATGAATCACGACAACAATTAATTCATGTATTAATGTGACTCCCCTGATTGGATTGTAATCATCAAAGATTTTGCTATATAAATTTATTATTGTTAGGCCCGAAACGCGAAAATCATTATTAATCTTGTGGGGTGCAAAATCAATACATCAACTACATCTTTGTCTGCATGCCTTTGCATGGCATGGATGTTGCAAAACCTGTCTAATCAATCAACCATGCATGATTCTCTCCAGTAAAGAGACCTACCAATTCACTGTCCAGACTTGAAGTTGAAGTTTATGTGTTTGCAGCATTTTGTCTCCAATACCGACATAAACGTGAAATACGAGGCTCAATCGGGTGAATCCAAAGAATCGTTCTTTTTTTTTTTTTTTTTCCCTTCCTTATTTTTAGTTATCAGGGTTTCTTGTGAATTTAGGTGTGTTATATTTGTTAATTCTGGTTTGGTACGACCAGATATTTTATATTTTGATATGTTCTTTTGTTACATATTATCTCTTTCGAATGAAATTGATTTTTCGTTTGTTTTTGCGACCAGTGGCGAAGACAGACAGGAGGGACTAGTCGGGGGCTGTGGCCCCTCTTCCCCAAATTTTTTTTTATAAAGAGAGGGTTTCATTTTTCAGTATAAAATTTAAAAAAATCAAAATTTTGTCCCTGCTAAATAAAAAAAATTATTATTTTTCCCCTGCAGTTTATAATTTTTTGCTCCGCCACTGATTGCGCCACACATTATATCTTTCTTTTAGATAGAGGTTACGAAGAATAGAGGCAAGCTAGGTAGTACTAGTAGAATATAAGAATAAAAAACCCTAAATGATGAAGAAGAACTGAAACAATATGTTAAGGATCAAGAAGCTATTGATTGAAAGATTTGATTGTACTACTTTTCTTTACCAACTTCACTGAAAACACAGTACATGAAATTCTATGTACAGAACATGTTACAAAGAATTGTTTTCAACTAAGGTTTCAGATGATAATGACTAGTTGCATATGAGTACGCAAACAAAGAAAATAATCTAGTTGTTTGCCCGATATAAAAATGGTTTATGGTTGTTGACAGAAGTCCTGGTGCTGTTGATGATGATTAACAGTGCCTGAGTGAAAGGATGTACGTATTGGACCAAGTTACAACTTTATATATTTGGCATGAATCACGTTTGTATGAGTATATACGTGAGTATGCCCATCCCAATCTTTCAGGCTGAAATTATTAATTTTGATACGTAACACGTATCATGCGATACTTACTGTTATACTTTCAGTATAACTTTATTCCTTTGATTCAGAGAAGTAATTTCGTATTTAGATCGCGAGTTGTTTTTTAAGAGTATATAGATGCTACGAGTTCAAATACGACCCATATTCTGTTTGAGCTTACAAAATTGGATTTAATAGAGTTCAAGGAGATACTCAGGGATCACGTCCATTCTTTTCAAGAAACACATACTACTTGAACTAAATTTAATTCGAATTTCTGCGTTTTTAATACGTGGAAATGGGATACATTTGGACAAGTAAGAATGTGTGTGATTTTCGGGTAATTAATTCACTGAAGCAAGGCGGTGGTGTTAGAACACAAAGATGTTGGACTTCTAAAGAAACAGTAACAACTAGCCCAACTTTGAGTCTAATGTAAAAAGGGAAATTGGGCCCAACTTGGAGTCTTTAAAGTCCACTTAAGTAGACGTAGAAAAATATAAAAGGAGAAAAGATCAAAAAAATTAGAAGCACCAAAGGGAAAAAGAGAGAACCACAGAAGAAATGGGAGACGAGAGGGTGAAGAATGAAGCGATGGAGATAATGGGAGTGTTTCAGGTGCTTCCTCGCCTTGTCGTCTTCGACCTTGATTACACCCTTTGGCCTTTCTACTGGTAATCCCTTTTCTTCCTCTTCTTCTTCTTTCCCCCTCTTTTTTGTTCAGTAATTTGAATTTCTTTTTGGATATGATTCTTCTTGTTGCCGGTTCCTTAATTCATTCCCCCTCTGAATTTTGTGTATTAGGGTACGCGGTTAATATTTAATGAATGTTCATTTTACTGATTGTAGATTTGCATGTTTACTGAACTGAATCAGAATTTTATGGAGAACCCATGTCCCCTGTTTCTTATTTTGACTTAGATACTTTTGTTAAAAATGGTTTGTGAGGCTGCATAAGTTGACTGGTGGATTTTTTAATTTTTTTTTCGGAAACTCTGTGTGAGTGTGTGTGTTTTGGGGGTGGGGGGTGGGGTGTTTAACTTGACCAAATTTGTCAAGTTTCTTCAGAATTGGATTTAGGATGGTTTTTAATTATTGGACCATTCAAGAAATATGTGATTGTTAATGGCTATATTATTGGATTCATTCTATTGTGATGTGGTTTTGGTGTAAAAATGTTTCTGTTTTTTTGTTTATGGTAAGTATATACCTTATAGTATAAGAGATTGCAGGTGTATAATTTGTGACTTCAATATGAAATTTTGTGTTTGACATTTTCCTAGCTTTGAATGAAGGCTTTGAAATCTTGGATATGATCTAAGACAGTTTCTCCCTTGATTGTTTGTTGGCTTATTAATTGTAGTGAATGTCGCTCCAAACGTGAAATGCCATCCATGTACCCACATGCCAAAGGTATTTTGCATGCGCTTAAGGACAAGGGTATTGATGTTGCTGTTGCCTCGAGATCACCGACAGCTGATATAGCCAACACATTCCTTGACAAATTGGGGATCTCATCTATGTTTGTTGTAAAGGTGAGCTACTGAAATCCATTTTCATTTCCCCTGGGCCTTTTCTCCTCCAGTCTTGGTATAAATGATTTGTATGTAGTCTAAATGGGGCATGAGAATCTTAGATCTCTTGAAAAGGCAATGGAAGGTCATCTTATAGCCTAGGTAGGAAGTCTAGCTAGTCGTGAGCCGGGCCATAATGTGGGTGTTTTCGGAGCACCAATATGTAAAGTCCATGCTTGTGTTTACTGATATGATATACATGAGATACTGGGTGGTTTTCCATGTTTAGGTCACATGTCCTAATTTTGTGACCTGTGATAATATGTTGGCATATACATGTGTGATCTATACTTTTATAGCCTTGTTTATAGCGTTTCCTGTCTACTCGATCCAATTGACGTTTAGATGTATGGTAATCATCATGGCTTTCAGGATTGAGAAAAGTAGCTACCCCATAAAAAATGTATATGTCAAAAAAATCAGCGAGAAAAGCTGAGATCACTATTAACTTGATTATCCTCGGAAAGAAGGGAAATATCATACATTTTGTATCGTGATTCTTTTTCCCATTCCTTATTACCTATAAATTCTCTCTGAATAGTCCTTAGGCCTGAGTACTAACTGACTGAACACCGTCCTTGCTGTCTCTGTGGCAAAAAATGAGTTCATTGTTGTACGCAATTAGATTTCTGATGTGCACTCTCCATATTACAGGAAATATTCTCCAGCTGGACTCATAAAACTGATCACTTCCAAAGAATAAATCGGAGGACTGGTGTGCCATACAATGCAATGCTCTTTTTTGATGACGAAAATCGGAATATAGAAGCAGTATGTCTATTCCCTGTACATCTTATCAAAAAAATTCACTTTGTAATTCTCAAAGGTTTTTATTGGAGCAGCTTCTTCTCGAGGTTTTCTTAGTCGAATACTCGAAATGCTGAGATTTTAAACAAAGCAACGCGCAGATATTTGCTCTATCGTTGCTGCCATTGCGTACTTGATTTTGGAATTTATTGTGATTCTGCTTTGTTTTCAGGTCTCAAAGATGGGAGCTACAAGCATACTGGTGCGCAAGGGGGTTAATCTTGGAGCTTTCAGGGAGGGACTCACCAAGTTTTCTCAAAATTTTGCTTCTGTAGAACGGAACAAGAAGAAATGGAGAAAATTTTCACAGAAACCAGAATCATCTGAGAACGAGGAGGAATGATTTTTGTTTGATGAAAACTTAAATCAAATTTGATTTGTAGTTATAAGAAGACAATTTGTTATGATGTTTTGTAAACAAGTGTCCCCAACTTATTGTGTCCGTGTAGTATTTCACCCCTGGGGATACAAAGATAGTATCAGTACGAAATTTTTTGAACAAACAATGAATATTTGTGAAAAATGTGGATTTTAATAGGGGGATAAAACTGAAAGTTTTTGAAATTTAGGAACAAAATAAAACGTGGAGTGAAGTTCAAGGACAGTTGATGCAATTAATGTAAAGAAATGTGAAATTCCATTTCCTAATGACACACTTTCTTTGCATGCTGGGATAGTTATAATATGATCACCATTGATTCAGGCATAGAGCAGCTCCGGCGAGCATGGGGCAAAATCGGAGAGTTAATCCAGAAAACCACCGAAAGGGTAAACAGAGAGTGAAAGATGACAAGAGCCAAGATAGAAATTAATGGAAAGGTTTCCGGTGCTTCCCTGGCTTGTCGTTTTCGATCTCGATTACACACTTTGGCCTCTGTATTGGTATCTACTCCCTTTTAGCTCAATTGATGTTCTTCTTTGTATTTGTGATTACTTCCCCTATTCCGATTCCATTAATTACTCTCTGTATTCTGTATATTTAATTGACCTATAGATACCGTACTGGTCTGTTTGCGTCCAGAGATTACGTTTTCATGTCCACTAATCTGTGTCAAAGCGTTTTATTGAGTACCCTGGGGAACATGAAGAATGTTAGGTTATGCAATTTTTCCAAAGTATGTACTATCTAGCTTTTGGATTTTGTATACTGCTCTTTAGTAATGATGTATAATTTCGCACAATTTAGATGGCTTTTGCTGAAGTAGTTATAGTTTTTTTTGTCCCCTTGAAGAGGTACTCCATTAATTAGGGGTAAGAAAGAATGAGTTCAGTGGAGGATTTTAGCCGTTTGGGATAGTTTTTATTAGTGGATCATTCCAGAAATCGACCACGATAGTAAATGGCTGTATTATTGGCTTTATAATCTATTTTGTAGTCTCTGCAGGCAGGTTTCTGATTGTTCTTTATGCTAGCCTACATGTCATGTCTTTCATACAAAAGATTGAATTATGAATTTTATGACTTGTGTGTTTGTTTGATGTTTGGTTTGCTTTAGAATAATGCTTTGAATCCTTAGATATGGCCTAACATAGTTGCTTGCTTGCTTTGTTACCCAGTCAAATACGCTCCAAGACTGAAATGCCTTCATTGTTCCCACATGTCAAAGGTATCTTACTTGCACTCAAGGATAAGGGCATTGATGTTCCGATTGCCTCAAGATCAGCGGCAGCTAATGTAGCCAACATATTCCTCGACAAATCCGAGATTGCTTCTATGTTTGTTGTAAAGGTGGGCTATTGTAATCCTTTTTACTTTCCTCGTGCCTTTTCTGCAGTCTTGGTTTAGAATATTCCAGATAGTTTAAATGGGCCACGGGGCTGATATCTTATCAGTTAACAACGAACAGGCACCAAGTTTTCGTCCATTAGCTTGTTAGGGACTTTAGAAATTCATGCAGCAGAAGATAATTGAAGTGCAGTAGGAACATTAATCTCCAATAAGTCTAGGATTGGTCTGTTAATGAGCAATATTCTGTGATGATGTTTACTGTTTGACCTGGTCCTATCTCCCAACTCCATGGCCTGTAATCAATGCAACTGCATAGGCTTTATGCACACAAAGAAGTGGTGAATTTGATGTAATCTAGTCTTTTTCTGTCTTTATTTTATGGTTCCTTGTATGCTTTTAAAATCATTGCTGCATAAGTGTAGTAATTATTGGTTTCTAAGAGTAAAGTTTGGAGGGAGTTTTTGTCACTTTTTTTGTTATTAAGAAATTCTGTCTCGAAGAAGTTGTAGATAACTAGATATACCTGATTATGAATAAAATCTCAACACCAAGGCCCTTTCTGTAGCGAAAAAGGCAGTTAATTGCTGGAAGTCGTGAATAACTTGTTTTGTTATGGCAACCACTGAATGCACTTTCCATATTACAGGAAAATGTTCACTAGCTGGACTCATAAAACTGATCATTTTCAAATGATACATCAGAGTACTGGTGTGCCCTACAATGCAATGCTCTTTTTTGACGATGACAATGAGATTATAGAAACGGTAACGTCTTCTTCCTGTACATTTGTTTAATAAATATCCGTCTGTCATTCTCGAGGTTTCACTTGGGGCAACTCTTCTCAGTTTACCTGTAGTCAAATTACTTGAATATGCGGAGCTATGACACAAAATAGTTTGCATATGCTTCCTTTGTTGTTCTCGTGTCCCTGAATGTTGGTACTTATTCATGCTTTTCAGATCTCAACAATCGGTGTTACAAGTATACCGGTGGACGAGGGGGTAAATCTTGAGGCTTTCGAGGAAGGACTTTCAAAATTTAAACAGAAATTTGCCTCTCAAGAAGGGAACAAGTAGATGTGGAAGAATTCTTCACAAGTACCAGCAATATCTGCGGTCGAGGAGAACTACTGATTAATGAAATCCATGTTCAGTATATAGTTTCAAGACATCATATTGTTCATATACTACTTTGTAAGGCAAATATTCACTAGCTGAAGTCGCAGATTGTTGCTGTTTGTGAGTCACATAACTTGCTCACTTAGGAGACTTCTTAGGACTTGAATCAAAATTTTATACCGGATCTCAAAGGTGCATGCCATTGACAAATTTTCAAAAACCATACTATACTGGGAACCATAAACCACTGCAAGGATCTCAGTGCCATACGAACAAAACCCTATACAAAAGCTTCCAACTATGTTCCGGAACAGAAAGGAGGAAGACCTAAGTGAAATGAGGTCTTATCAGACATTCATCTGTACAAAAATGCTATGCTACATGCTTCTCCACTTTGTCGCCTCTCTCAAAAGAAGAACTGGTATAAACCATGACATTTGGTACATTTTTGTGATCTTTTCAGTCAAAATAGTTTAATGTTGTTGTGGAAGTCATCAGTCGTCTCAAACTGTTTCTTGAAGAAGCAGAGATTCAAGTTCTTCTCTACGGCGCTCCAGTTCCTGCAAGTATTTCTCAGTTATGATATTTCAGAAAAAAATAAATGAACAAAAATGTCTGTAGACCACCCTTTTAAGACACACATGTTACACTAATGTTGTAGTCTCTCAAATTATGCAATTCACATTGGACCCTTTGCAAGGTTGTTGGCATGCAGATCTGATCACCAAGCAGAAGTTATAAATATTATGCTTTACCTGTAAATCTTTGACAGCTTGATCCCTGGACACTTCTTTCTTCAAGCGAGCACGTTTTAAAGAGCCAATGCAAAGCATACCCTGAAGATTGAAAAGAAAGAATTAAGTAAATTAACTTAAATTTGAGTTCCAAATGCGAAGTGTGTGCAGTGCTGGGTGGCACGGGGGAAATGTAAATTAGCACTTGAGATAAGAGGGAACAGAATTCAGGGAAATCTAATTTTCTCCTGGGGAAAGGAGGGGTCTAATACAATGTAGTCACCATACAATTCCATTTTACAGAGATGAAGGTCACATTACTTACTGATACAACATAAACTACCCCACAGGAAAGAAGAAGGTAGCATGCTATGTTCTGAAGAAGCACGAGCTCTGCTCTTTCACCAGAATATTCTGGGAAAGCTCTTGTCATCACAGCAACACTGGCAAAAAAAAGGCAGTAGGATATGAAACATGTCAACCATAAATGCTCATTCTAATGTCCTTCTAATCTTAAGAAAATAAGTACTTAGAAGGTAATTCTAAAACAAGCCAACTCGGAAATGACAAGTAACATGGAGAAATCACAATTGAACAGAAAGTTGTCGGACAATAGGCCCTTTTCTCAGACTATAAAATGAACACACTGTTCATATTAACAAGCTAACGAAAAAATAATTATGCAAATTTATGAAACCGTCTCAACAAAAGTGACCCTTATTCATTTAGAGTTAGTCAATGCTATAAGAAACAAATCACGAAACAGTAATTGTACAAGAATAAGTAGCAGCTTTTACATGAGTGAATTTCAGCAGCTAGAGAAAATAAAATGGTACTTACAATATCTGCAGCATCCCTCGGCCAGCCCAGTACTCTAATACCTAATAATTGGTAATTTGACATAAATGATTAAATGAGTAATGAATATCAAAGAGCTATATATTCTTAAGATGGTCAATAATGCTGCAGAAATCTACAGTATGAAGTAATTAGTCCAAGATTTTACGGCAATCAAGCACCAAAGAGAGCAGTTAGAGCATGGCAGTGAATTGGAATGGGAGGTCCTCAACCATTTCCTCATAGTTCAAATAGGCGTATCTCAGAGAAACAGTGTGCAAGGAAACTACCAAAGTGCATTTAGAAGACTGATAAGAAAAGAGCTCAAAATTCAATACCCTAAGATTCAGTATTGTAAGCATTTAACATCGAAAAGGAGGACATGATGCTCAAAAGTCAATTCTTTAAATGAAAATCAGTAGCCATGCTTAACAGAACCAGAATAAAATTGTTGGACGAGCCTCCATTTCAAATGTCAAAAAATTGAAGAAACAAGTACGCAAATAGTTTAGGTGGCTGAAAGTAATGACATGCAGGTATAATCAACCGAATTTAAAATCGAACCTTCCAGAACTTGAAGATGAATCCCCACTCCATTTCAGCGACCACCACGAATATGCCGATCACCACAGCGTAACACCGGAATATTCCATCAAAAACCTACAAAAAATTTTCCGCCATTTTAGCCGGAAAGAGTTTTCAGTATACAGCCAACGCTTTCATAATCGCAATAATACTACACAAAAGGCATATATATAGACTTCAACATTCAATAGCCAAAAAATAGAGTAAAAGGAAACAAGAAGAATTACATCGGATCCATCCTTGAAGGATCGGACAGCTGAAAGAATGTTGACAGCAATGCAGAGGATAGCAGCTATCGCCGTGAGGAAACTAAAGCATCTGCAGACCACCAAGAACGGGTCAGCCCTTGACCCGACCCGGGTGGAGGAAGTCGACGCGCCGCCGTTATTACTTCGGCCACTGCGTGGTGGCGGAGGAGTAGTCTCTCCCGCCTGAATATCATCATTCGTCGGCATTTTTTTTCAGAAGAAAATTACAGTCGCTCAAGAGTTATGATATTATCATCTGATTTTCTTTCCCAGCTCAAATTTTCACCGAATCGAAAAATATCCAGAAGCCTCTCTGTATCTATCAATCTATCTGCCTTTCTTTCTTCCACATTTATACTTTACCAATTTTTAATTTAGTTTTTTAATCATTTGCTTAGATTCTTTCACCAGCTAGTCAAGAAAGAAGTCCGTTGGCGATGGGCAGTTGCCGGTTTGATGGCATGCACGTGTCCGCTGAGCTAGATGGGCTGACCACTTGTGGACTCACAGGTGGAGTGGGCCAGTTTTTGTTGGCCGGCCTTGTTTTTAGATCAGCGTCCACGGAAACTGATTATGGAGTGTAATCTTTTTGTTTTACGCATAACGTCCTCGAAAACACAGTCCAGTTTGACAGGTAATTAATCCACGATCCTTCTGAAACAAGTTTAAGATTGAGCCATTAGTATGTTGCAATTGTGATAAAAACAAAATGTTACATGTGTCCCGAGTATGAAATGTATGGTGTTAATTGATAGTAACAATAATTGCCGTGGGGAAAAAAAATCGTAATATTTTCGATTTGCTACATGTTGAGTTTTAGCTACTAACTTGATTTGATTTTCCTTACCCTTTTTGGAGAATAAAAAAGGCACAACCTGTGTTTTTTCAAAAATAAAAAATAAAAAAAATCGGATTATATTAAGAAGAGAGAGTGATGATTTTTTCTTTTCCGAACCACATAAAGAACATTCCAACATCGTGATAGTAAACATAAGATTATACACTTCTTCTACCATTGGGAGTGATGATTAATTCTCGAATTGTAAATTTGTTAACTATCCGAAGATACATTAGTAGATTTTGAACCTGTTGGATAATAAATCGCATATGGCTTTAAAAAACATATTTTTGTTTTGTTTTGTTTTCAAGGAAGTCCAAGATTTATAACCTTGCACTTTGTAATAGTATACATACATATTTCCAAAAAAAAAAAAAAAAAGGTACGTAAATAAATTAATTTTATTGAGGGAGGTCCCACATAATTCATAATCAGGAATATTAAAATAGAATCTCCATAATCATCATCATTTATTCATTTTCATTGACCTGTGTCGGAGTTGAAGATCGGAGTGATAAGCTAAAAAGATAAACGCAATGGATAACAAAGAAAAGAATTTCACCTCCGAAAATGGAGATTCAAGCTCAAAGACGACGCCGCAGACTGCTTCTAAGGATGGTTCCATTTGTGGGTTTGATTCTCTCCACCGCCTTCTCCAAGCCTGCCTTAGCCCTCCACTTTTCCAGGTCCATTTCACTTCTATCCATCGACTTCTTTCTGCCCCATTTAAATGATCAGCGAATTTGCCGTTATTCTTATTCGTCTGGTTTGCTTCCAGTTATTTGCATACCTGAGGTGTCGATATTATTTCCAATGGATTGCTTAATTTGCCAAGTTGCTGAATTTTATTTTATTTTATATATATATATATATTTAATTTTTTGGGGTTTTTTGCTATTTTTCTTTTGGGTTCATTTGCTGGAACTTTTTAGGGCCAGTTGATGTTATTAGATTACTGGGAATGGCAAAAGCATATTGAGTAGGGATAATCTGAGGTGTGGGATCATTTTGGTCCCCCGGTATTTGCCACATCCGCTGTAATTTGTGTTGTTATTATTCCAAATGTTATGAGCCAACATATTAATTGTCGTTCCAGTTGACTATTAATCTTAAATTACCATTGCGGAATTTAAGATCATAATTATATAAGATTTTGAGCTGTCACTTGGGAACTCTGTGCTGTGTTGAGAATTAACACATCAATCGTGTAGCCTAAGGTTTTGATTTTGCTTTTAAAACGAAAACTTACGTTGATATCCTAATAGTGTGTTTCATATAGGAAGCAAGCCGCATGCTTCTTGGCCTCAATTGTGGACAAGCTCTTGAAACTATAACTCTCCCTGACCCTGCCGCTGCTCTTGCTTCCAAGCATGACTTTGATCTTCAGGTAAATATGACTGATATGGGTTGATGTTTGCATTATACACAGAGTCTGAAGAAGCTTGTTGAGTTGGGAGCTGTATGTGTTGACCTGTTTCAGGTTTCTGATTGCTTCAGTGGTTGACTATTTAGTTCTCCCTCAGTAGTCAGTCCCAGAAAAATGGTCCACATTGCAATTTGTGAATTGTACTATTTTAGTTCAATGTATAAATTACAATGTTTTTGTCGGACAGAGGGAGTACTATTTTGAAACTGACTCATGGTCCTTTGATGATTTTTGGTGTCATGGTTGATTAAGTTTTAAAGGTGAATTTCTCCCCAACAAAAGTGTACACTTCCTTGTATACTTCGTGTAGGTTATAATTTTGAAGCATGAGAAATTTTGGTTACAGTTTGGTCATTGATTTTCACGCACTCGCAGATTCCAGTTTCTCCTACATAGAACCAAATATAGGATTTTGATGACAGAAGTAACATGCTCTTTGAACTGAATATCTTGGCTATTTTTGCTTGATCAAACAGCCTACTGTCGCTGCTGAACAATGTGTTGTAAAGAAACCTGTAGGCAGGACACTTAACAAAGTCTCTCACATATTCCCAAGATGTTCAAGCCTCTTAAATCTCGAAGTTGACCTCCAAGTTTCTACTTTTCAGATAAAGAGTCTTTTTAGTTTGCATAACTATTGTGGCTCGTTTTAGTTAAATGGTTGATTTTATGAAATGATTTTGTGCAAGTTCAGGCATACTATTTGCGTGCTGATAAGGAGTCTCTTAGAGAACCTCGAATTGTCAGGGTTGGTCTTATTCAGAATTCAATTTCCCTGCCAACTACAGCACCGTTTTCAGACCAGAAGAGGGCTATCTTTGAGAAACTGACGCCCATAATCGAGGCTGCAGGTGCTTCAGGGGTTAATATAATATGCTTGCAAGTGAGTCTCTTTATTGTTATTATCATCGTTTGAAATTTCTCTTGGCATTTTATGTGTAACCAGTTATTCTTTCTTCTTTAGGAGGCATGGATGATGCCGTTTGCATTTTGTACTCGTGAAAAGAGATGGTGTGAATTTGCAGAGCCCTTTGACGGGGAGTCAACACAGTTTCTTCAGGAATTTGCGCGAAAATACAACATGGTTATTGTGAATCCGATTCTTGAGAGAGACATAAAACATGGGGAGACCATTTGGAATACTGCTGTAATTATTGGCAATCGTGGGAACATCATTGGGAAGCACCGGAAGGTTAGTTTGAACCTTTTCTCTACCTTTATGGCATTTGTGGAATGCGATGCGGACAGTTGGAAGGTTAGTATGACCTTTCAGTAACTAATGAACCTTTTAATGGAATATACAGAACCATATACCAAGAGTTGGGGACTTTAACGAGAGTACGTATTACATGGAAGGGAACACTGGTCATCCTGTTTTTGAAACAGTTTATGGAAAGATTGCTGTCAACATATGTTATGGAAGGCACCATCCTCTCAACTGGTTAGCATTTGGATTGAATGGGGCAGAGATTGTCTTCAACCCTTCAGCTACTGTTGGTGAACTCAGTGAGCCTATGTGGCCAATTGAGGTATCTATCGATTGTCTTCCACAGGCTGTTCTTTTGTCCGGTGGAGTCTAATTATGCTTGTGAAGACTTTCCGTTTTGCGGGGAGAATGGTTTGTTGATCATAAGCGGGGTGTTATTATGCATACTAGCTGTTTGTTGAGGAGTGTTTTTCTTTTCTGTGGTTTATGATTTATACAGGAGGCATTTATCTTTCTTTATCCCTTTTACTGATGCGCTTGCTGAATGATTGTTTGCAGGCTCGTAATGCTGCAATAGCAAATAGTTACTTTGTGGGTTCAATTAATCGTGTTGGGACTGAAGTCTTCCCCAATCCATTCACTTCAGGAGACGGAAAGCCTGAGCATGCAGAATTTGGGCATTTCTATGGTTCTAGTCATTTTTCTGCACCAGATGCGTCATGCACGCCATCGCTATCTCGCTTCAAGGATGGATTAATGATATCGGACTTGGACCTGAACTTGTGTAGACAACTGAAGGACAAGTGGGGATTCCGGATGACTGCTCGGTACGAACTGTATGCAGATTTACTCGCTCGTTACGTGAAGCCAGATTTCGAGCCTCAAGTCATTTCTGATCCCTTGCTACATAAGAGCGCATAGACATAATACATTGCTGGAGATTTAAAATTGAGATAATCCGGGGCAACAGAAAGATCACTTCTTCATTCAGTGTTGAAACAGTAGTTGTAGAGGTCAAAAGTGAAAACAACATGGATTTGTTCTTGTTTGTGAATATCATTTCATCAAGATGCATCTGAAACTTCAAAGTGAAGCATGGTGCTTGAAAAATGCTTTCAGTCAAAGGTTTGTTGCTGGTACACAGAGAATTATAGAAGCTGGATTCAGAGACCACTTATTGATGATCGGATTCAAATGAAAAAGCTGTTCAACCCCACAAAAAGACTGCATTACTGTTTTTTAGAAGACCTTTCCTCCTTTCTTCAAGCTGCTTGTTATATATTTAGTTATTTACATGACAAAAGTCATAGATTTTTTTTTTTTTTCTTTTTCTCAAAATTGTGATGGACAATAGTAAGAGTAGGATTACTTATGGCAATGGCTAAAATATACGAAGTGCAAAAAGTAAGGAGCTGTTTGTTTGTCTGGAATCGGAGTCGGGATTCGGATTCGGAATTCACTTTATTGTTTGATTAGCCGGAAACGGATTTAAGGAATCAGATCCGGAATGAGTTTTTCAATTCAGCTCCCCCTAGGGATTCGTTGGATACGGATTCAAATCATTTTCATCTTTTTTTTTTCCTAAAAAAAATTTCAGACAGAGCAAATCAGGTTTTTTTTTTTTTTTGTCTTATCTTTCCTCCTCATCTTAATCTCTGAAAATCTTGATTGATGCCATTATCGCCGGCGGCTGAAGTTCTAAGCTCATAATTTTTTTTCTCCTCGTGCCATCATCCTTAGATTTGGGGGTTGATTTGATGCTCTTCTAAATTGTTGGCAACGATGAAAAGTTCGAGTATTAGAAAGGACAAGAAGTGAAGGTAGCTGGCGCAGGTGGGAAGTTTAGATTTGGATAGTTGTTGGCGGCAGTGATGGCGGAGTGAAGGTAGATGATGAGAGTGGATGGAAGTGGCGTTTGTTTAAATTTCGGATGGTGATTTTTTGTGGGAAAGTAGTGGTCGGTGGAAAATGTGAAGACAGAGAAGGAGAAAGGGGTCGTAATTTTTTAATTTTTTTAATAATTAAAAGTGGTAAAATTGAAAAAAAAAAATTATTTAAGTTATCCATATATTCAATCAAACGATGCTATTGGATTCGTGAATCCCTGATTATTCAAATCCATTTCGTCATCATTCAAATCCGTTTCCAGCTGATAAAACAACCCTCCTAAATCATTATCAGTCCTAACAAAACAAATTTTTTGCGGCTGCCGAATGTTTTGCATTGACAATCAATCATTTGCTATGTTCCCCATCAGCATTTTCTACGTGGCAGATGTGAATGGTATTCTGAGTTCGATAACCCAAATAACATCCACCATATTTTTGTCACGACAGTAAACTTTTATGATATTAGTACTAAACTTTATACCCACTTATACATTAGTCACATTGATAACTATTTTAATTCATCCTTTTATTATATATATATATATATATATATTGTAGTAATCGAGTGATCATGATTATGATCAAACCTAGTAGTACCTGTTTGATAAAGTTATTTAGTACTCACTCTGTCCCATAATTATTGTCCAGTTTGGTTTTTCACTTTTAGTATAATTTGAACTAAAAATGAAAACTCAAACAGGACAATAATTATGGGACGGAGGGAGTACTTAAAATTATTTTATCAAGTACTTTTTTGTTTAAATGTGTTCGATAACTAAAAATAAATATCTTAATGAATTAAGTAATTCTGAAATCTAGTACAAAATATAAACAAAAAAATTCATTTATTATTTATTTCATAATTGCTTAATAAATTTAGTATTTTTAATTTAGTATTAAAATATTCAAAATAAGCATTAATAATTATCAATCAATACTTTTTATTTTTCTTTTTGTCGTGAAAAATAAAAGAATTTCCCACTTAAAAATCTGCTTAATTTGACGTATACTTGTGCCAAATAATTTATCGTTCCACGTGGAAATAATTTTATTTTTAATACTCTGCTTTTAAGTTTTAATTAGATGCTTCGCCCAGGCAGATGTCCGGGCGCCCCTCTACTTTAAATTTGTGTTAATCGATAAATAAATTTCTTATTTGGAAAAAATAAAATAGCTACACATTTGATTTTTTTTTTTCATTTTTTTAGTCAAAAATAAAAATAAAAGTAAAAATAAAAAATCATCTGCCAAAGCAAAAAATATTAAGAAGTATAATGATGTAGAAATCATACAAAAGAATGTGGAGTAGTAAAGGGGATAAGTTTATGGACAAATTTAAAGGCTATTTTAATTTGAATGATAAATGATAAATGTTAGGAGTTAAAATTGTGTAGTTATTTTTGTAAAGTAGCTTAATTTCTCGGGATAAGATTTTTTTTTTCTTTTAAAAAGGGGATGACACGTGACATAATGGTCAATGCAATATGGTGCATTTGGAGCCAAAAAGTTTTAATAAGAAGTTACCACATCAACATCCTGTATTCTGCTTTAATATGGTAAAATTGATAACCAGAGAGAAAAAAATGAAAAGAAACCAATAACATCCTTATCCACTTTAATAAGTTCGCCACAAAGTCCTCTTTCCCTCTTTCCGCCATTGTTTATAGTTTTATACAGAGCTACAGGAGGAGTACTGTTGCATTTCCCCCACAACGGCATCGTTTCCATCGTCTTCTTCCCTTTGTCTGCGGGTTTTAGAATTTTTTTTTATATCTATAAATGCGGTTGTGACCAAAAAATGAAGAGAAAAATACTATAAAAAATTACACACATGGCAAATCCCCATTCAGTGTTTATTATTGTCCCAATCCCTATTCATTGTGTCTTATTGTCCCACTAGTATATAAATACTAGTAAATGATCACTCTAAAACCCTTCAACCGCCGTCCGCCTATTGTCTTTCCATCTCTCTCTCTCTCTCTTACAACTTCCATCCCCTTCAATCTATTCTTCCCTACCAAAATTCAAAACCCAGAATCATCAACCGAAACCCCCTAACCCTCAATCATGTTCCCAGAGAAAGTCTATCTCCACCTCCGTCTCATGCGTGATGAGGTTCTTTCACCAAAATATCACCCCCACCTTCGGTTTGTCAGGGACAACATACCCCTCCCTTTGCCTTTGTTTTTGGAACAGGTTTTTCCTATCTATCTAATGAGAGAACTATGGCAAAAATGAGTGAGTGGAATGATTTGGCCATCTCTTAAAGGTGTCTAATAATAGACCACCTGGTTTTCTCCCATTTGGGGCTGCCATCAAAGGAATTTGAGATTTTCCGGACAGCTGCTTGTATGAAAAGAGAGGTGGAATGTGAGAGGAAGCAGATGGAGAGGGCATTAGAGAAAAAACTGAAAAAAGATGCCACATTTAAGGTCATAAGTGAGAAGTCTAAAGATGTTGGAAACAAGGTAATGAGGGTTGTGGTGGGGGATGCACCCCCACCTTCCTGGATCTGAAAAAGAGGTAGAAGTTTGCACCTTTTTGGCTTTTAGTTTAGTGCACCGTCGAATAGAGCTGATCTATTGAGATTTCAGGAAAAAAAAAATATGGTAAGTTATCTACTTAGGTTGGTTACTGAATTATCATCCTTCTTAGAATAGGGAGTGTAGTGGCCCGTTAATGGTTAAGCTTAGTATCTTATCCCTTTTTGCTTCTTAGATCTTTAGATTTAGCCTTGGTATCTTGTCATCCTTTAGTCTTCTCAGATCTGTGAATTATGGTATCATCCGCGAATTAGATTGATGTATTTTTTTTTTTTTGGGTTTTCTTTTTCCTTTTCGTACATATAAAAAGTAAGCAAGAATTCCGACTGTGGTCGGTGGCTAAGCTTAAGGTTGTGTAACTTTAAACAAAAATCTCTTGTCGTTTTAGGAAGTTCATCTATTAACAAACTAGTTTGGGCAGAATTCGAAGGTTTGAGGTTTTTTAAACTCATAAGTTAAATTTATACTTGAGCTCTGTGATCTCATTTATCTAGGGAAAATAGAATATTAAAAGTAATGTTAAAATAATTTTTTTATTGCAATAATGAAAATGAAGGAGAAAATCATAAATGATAGGTGTTTAGTGTTAGGTTATTAGTGAAACATTTATTAATATTTTTTTAATATTAACAAATGAACTGGTCGTTTAAACTCATTTAATTATATGAGTAAATGTGATATTATTGAACGAACATATTTGACTAAAAAGCATTTAAGCAACTTGACAAGACTATAATCACTCCCACATACATAAAACGATATTTCTTCCTAGGAAATGTAATGAGGAATTATCAAATTCATTCATTTTTAATACTTTTAAGCAAATCCCCATTCATTGTTTATTATTGTCCCAATCCCCATTCATTGTGTCTTATTGTCCCACTAGTATATAAATACTAGTAAATGATCACTCTAAAACCCTTCAGCCGCCGTCCGCCTATTGTCTTTCTATCTCTCTCTCTCTCTCTTATAACTTCCATCCCATTCAATCTATTCTTCCCTACCAAAATTCAAAACCCAGAATCATCAACCGAAACCTCCTAACCCTCAATCATGTTCCCAGAGAAACTCTATACCCACCTCTGTCTCATGCGTGATGAGGTTCGTTCCACAAAATATCACCCCCACCTTCGGTTTGTCAGGGACAACGTACTCCCTCCCTTTGCCTTTGTTTTTGGAACAGGTTTTTCCTATCTATCTAATGAGAGAACTATGGCAAAAATGCGTGAGTGGAATGATTTGGCCATCTCTCAAAGGTGTCTAATCATAGACCACCTGGTTTTCTCCCATTCGGGGCTGCCATCAAAGGAATTTGAGGTTTTCCGGACAGCTGCTTGTATGAAAAGAGAGGTGGAATGTGAGAGGAAGCAGACCGAGAGGGCATTAGAGAAAAAACTAAAGAAAGATGCCACCTTTAAGGTCATAAGTGAGATGTCTAAAGATGTTGGAAACAAGGTAATGAGGGTTGTGGTGGGGGATGCACCCCCACCTTCCTGGATCTGAAAAAGAGGTAGA